ATTAAATATAAAAAAAAGGAATAAAAATTATTATCTTTTATCACACTAAAGTCATTGCATCTCATAAAAGCTGCCTTATTTAATTATAGAAATGCGGTATAAAATAAATGCTTAAATACATATAAAGTTTCAATTTCAAGTGCATTGTGCATTATTTTCTAATCTATACAATATATAATAAAATTTTAACTGAGTGGAATCTGTACATTAAATATTTTTTGGAGAATCTTATTGAAATAGTCATTATTATCGATACAGAGGCCGAATCCATAGTTTTAAGTATTTTTTCTGTCTGTCTGGGATCACGAAAAATCCACTGAACAGATTTTGATGAAATTTATTATTAATTTTATATCAGAAAATTAACAATTAGGTCAATAAAATTATTTATGCTGTTAAACGTTTTATCTATTCAGATGCTTTTCTAACGGTTATAACTACGCTGCTAATAAATTTAAAGATTAAAATCTCCTAAAACTGGTATTTGGTCATTTATTTACACTACATATAAAGAAAATGTCACATAACCAAAATAACTTTCGACTACGTTATGACATCAAAGTGATATATTACTATTAAATAATAAAAAAAATACGGTTAAGAATATTACAAGCAGTGGTCAGATCATAATGTGGTGTAGAAAAAGCAATGGTTGCTATAATTTCTACATCGCTTAATAATTTCTTAGAATTACGCAAATATTTTTGACATTTTAAATAAAACTATATTTTTTTAATGGTATAAAACCCTAGTCTCTCCCGTGACCATGATTGCTGTAAAGCATTCGAAACGTCGAAAACCAAAAATCAAAATAAATCCGAAAACATAGTTTTATTTAAAATGTTCTACATCGATTTTAAAATCCATTGCACTCTTTATTCTACGCACTTCACGTTGCCATTATCGTATATTATTTTTAATTATCCAAACGTACTAAGCTAAGAGGTATTATATAGCAAGTCTTTTCATTCCGTGTTTCATTATCGATCGTAATTGCTTTCCGTTATAATTATAAACTCTAATTATTATTATTAATATAAATTTATCGGTAGTTGTGTCTATGTATGACAAATGGTATAGGTACTAGTTGAAGCCAACGTTTATATCGAATGGTCATCAGTAGTGGATTTAGGTTCGATGGCGCCCTAGGCCCAAGTCGATATGGCGCCATTTTTCTTTTGTAACAGTATATATAGATTATTTATTTTAACAAAAAAAACTCTACCTTTGCAATGGTACTGTGTTTTGATTATAAGAGCGCAAGGAAATAAATTCTAAAATTTGGTTGTACAGTTTACTGAAAATCCAATCGATTTTTAATTTTAGTCATCTTAAAAATTTTGGTGCCCCTCAAAATTTGTTGCCATAGGCACGGGCCTCACGGGTCTTAGCCTAAATCCGCTACTGATGGTCATGGGTTCTAAAAGCATATTAGTAATATTTTCGTGGATAATTCGTAATAATTTCGAAAACGGTATATAATCACGATAGATCTGTGCTCGTGTGTTCGTTTGAATTAGGGATGCATCGATACGCACTTTTGCCGATACGATACCGATATTTATAAAAAAGTACCGCCGATACCGATGCGGACATTGCAGGTTTCAAAAGGTATGAAAAGTAAAAAACTGTAAGTTTTGAATAAAAAACAAAGAAACAAACAGCATTACAACAATAGTAAAATTAATTTAGAACGTTAACTAGCGAAATTAGAAAATTGTAAATAAACAAAATATGAATTGTATTTTAAAACTGGAATTTATCAGTATGTAAATGATTTAAAAAAAAATAAGTAAAGTAATTAAAAAAATATCTATTTAATAATGACGTTCAGATTAGAAATTTATACTTAATATTCACATTTATGAGATTGTTATTCAGGAAACACAAATTCCTACCTAACCAAAAATGTGTCGGCGTATCGTCAATATTGATATATCGGAAAACCGACAACATCGCCGATATATCGATGTCGGTATCCGATAAATCCCTAGTTTGAACATAAATATGGGAACACGGAATTAATATTTGGTATCGTAAATCTCAATGTACAAACACGATCTATGAACAATTCTATATTGTAAATATCGCCTCAAATCGTTGTTTTGAATATACTCTACATAAGGCATACATACAAATCTAACGCGATCTAACAAAGCACTCAGCGGCAAACGATTTTCAATCTTAAATCTATAATATCATAGTTTACTTTTAATTTCTACATGTTTTTATAATTCAGGCATTTAGAATATACTATTTAAATCTAGGATTTATAAGTGCGTGTAATATATATATAAGGTAAGCTTATTCCATATAAGGTATTAACAGTACTGGCGACTGTGTTCCTTTGGTTTATAATTCGTTTTCTTTCAAATACATATAGTATGTATGTATGTATGTATAATTTTGTACGAACGAAATGTATAGACTCAATTCGAGAAAAATAATATAAAACTTGAAGTTCGAAAGCTTACGAGAGGTTTCTTAAGGAACTATTATTTTGATGAAAAATTGTCCACTATTAATAGATAATGTACCCGATGAGTATTTTGAACTATAATAAAACAAGATGTCATTTTACAATAGCTCGAAGTATTGTATTGTATTCAGCCCTTTTTAACGCCTCACTGCCCGTGCCCAGGGTCTTGTTTCAATACGAGGGGAATCAGGCCAAAGTCCAACACGCTGGCCAAGTGCGGGTTGGCGGTCTTCACATGTCTTTCGAAAATTTGCTAAGTTCTCTCAGACATGTAGGTTTCCTCACGATATTTTCCTTTACCGTAAGGCAAGTGATAATCATGTTAGAAATGATTCGCACATGAAAATGTCAGAAGTGCGAGACCCGGGAATTGAACCCGCTTCACTCGGTTTTCCAAGCGAGCGCGTTACCACTGGGCTACCACTGCCTTATAGCCCGAAGAATAGAAGTTATAAAAATTGTATTGAAATTGTAAGTTTAATTGTAAAATCACATTAGTAAGAGATTACTAATATATACCTACTTTTTAATTTCTATATTATATATATATTTCAACGATTGTGAAGTGACATCTTATCTAAGCTTTAAAGTCCGACTAAACAATAGAAATCACTACTGCGCGTAGTCTTTTCCACTTGAATTAATTGGTAAGATGTTTAGATTCCAGAAATCAACTAATGGCTACGAGAGGTAATTTAAATATGTATGTCCTGATATTATTTAAAAACACGAACTATTTACTCCTTTTGCTTTCAGTGTTAAAAACTTTTCATCTTATATTAACAAAATAACTAGTTTCTACCACTATTTATACCAGACCAAGATAAACTCAATTAAATATTTTTAACTTAAGCTAGAATAAATACAAATAACATAAAGAAATAAAATTCTTTACACTGAAAAGTTGTCAAATTACGTCGAAAAAAAAGTACCATATACACGATCAGCGACAAAAAATGTCCTCACTGAATGAGCGTTCATTGAACATTTGAGCGCGCTTATATTTTTTTTGTAAAAACAACTTTAAGCATTTCCTTAATAGTTCAATTTGGGATTGTGTATCTAGTACTTTTTTGATCGATGAATTTATTAACTTCTAAGATCTATAAAAGAGAGCTTAAATTCATTGTAAATTATGTCCCGAACATATATCAATGAGAGGTTTCATACGAAATGCAGGTCAGATAAAGTTGAAAAGAATGGAATAAATTATATCTAAGTATTTTAGCAACTTAAATAGATTAAAAAGTAAATATTAAAATCAAACTAAAATCAGAGTCATCGCCATTTTGATTTACACTTCGAAAAAAAGAGGGAAAATTGACATTTCGATGACAATTGACGTTTACATAATGACAATCATAAATAAATTTTAAGTCAAATGTTTTTTTTCCATTCTACGTGACATTGGAGAAATAATCTGTGCTCAACTGTCACGCTTTGAAGCCAAGCAACAAGAGAATTGAATTGTACTTTATGTTTGTGGCGCCACTGTCAGAAAAACCATTATTTTCTTGCAAATGTTTAAGCAATTTTTTTAGGTTTTATGCGTCAGTATAATAAATATAAGGTATCCACAGCATAATTATGTGCATTTTTGTTTCACATATTATTGTTGAGAAATATGTCAAATACAAGCAGCAAATGTATATGTTTGAATGAAACTTTAAACACGTTTTGATTCAATGTGAAATATCTATTGGTTCAATAAAAACTATTGCGTTATGACGACGTCGAAGTAAAACTTAGAGTAAGACCGTATCAATAAACTCGTATTCGTACGTACACATGTACATTCTATGGCGCCTGCATTTTTTCGCGTTTAATTTATTTTTCATTCTAGCTGTACAATTCAGCTGAATTGCTAGAACATAAGTAACTAAATCACTTAGCAATCAAATGACATGTATGTTACAACCAGCGCTGCCAGTAGAACCAACTTATTTTATACCGCTGGCTTACTTAAATTATACCAAATCAAATTTCATTACACAAATTAACAAGCCTGTTGAGAAGTAGTCTGTGATGAATAAAAAAACAATAAAAATACCTAAAAACTTAAAATGAAATATACATAAAATAGCCATGTTTTACAATTTTCGTATCCAATTATACAATCTGGCAGCCCTGGTTACGACATAAGTCATATCGGCGTCCCTCCCCTTTTTTCCAGAAAGATGATTTTACCACTTCTCAGTCGTACTTCCCAACTCGTGGGTACAATATAATAATCCATACAGTATGAGATCGTCCATTGATTTTAACGGAAACGCGGTCAAATGCAAGAGTTGTCAAAAACACTAATTTTCATGGTCAAAGCGTCAACCTTAAAGCCGTATCCCGACTGTCATATAAAACTAAGTATGAAAGTCGGGTGCGACACACCCGCGTCTTCTCGTACCATATCCCTATACGAACGTTTAAGACGACTGTATGAATTAGTATAATGTGATGTCATCTGTGTAGAGATGTCCATAGGTGGGTAGAAAGCTTCAAAGAGCGGTTTAACTCCGTGCGTTCAAACGGAGGTGCCGCAGTGGCGGTCCGCGTCGAGCGAGACGTCCTCGGGGCTGGCGAGGTCGGCGCGCAGGCGCACGCCGCGCCCCGTCAGCGTCCAGCGGCACGCCGCGCGCTCCGTGCGCGGGGAGATCCTGTGGCCGGTACGGGTCATATTATATTTTAATAGTTACATTTTCGAAGTGAACTTCTTTAGAATCGTTGTGATTTGAAACTCGATGAAATGGAAATGCGACACTAAAAGGAGATAAACACGTAAATATATAGGATTAAGCCGGCTAGAGAATGAGAATACATTGCCATATTGCCATGGTAACCGTTCTCATCGTCTAACAAATATATAATATTATATTCTTTCCGTAAGTATATGATATTCCATAAATATATGATTTTAATATGCCTATATGCCCTATTTAATTATTAATTTGTTTTAATTTAACTGTGATATTTGTTCACGCGTCTAACACTGAGGTGGGGCGATAGATCGATCCGCGGGGGGCAGGGTGGACCCCCGGCAGCCGTAATTACTTTAACCTTACCGTATGAGACGATACGAGCCGGTGCACGCGCAATTTATCTTTGCAATACAATATACAGTAAACGCAATGAGCTTTGTTGGAATAAATTTGAAGTTTTCCTTGTTGCCCAAACAATATTTGCCAAAAAAGTTTTACTTCAACCGCGCGTAAAGGTTACACGCACCCATTTTTTTTTGGTTCGGTAACCATTTCTCTGCCTTTTTAGAGAAAGGATTATTTGTCTCCTCGTTAAATTTAGTAATATTCTCGACAAAACTCGACTTTACAAACCGGTGGTAGCTTCCTTACAAGACTTACATACTGACATTTCATTTCAATTTATAAATTAACAATTCAAAAGTGTTACTAAAAGACTATTTCAATAAAGTATAGTTTGATCATGTGTATCATGTGTTTGATTATGCAATAAAAGTACACCATTAATATACTTTTATTCCATGTCTCATCAATTTGTGCCACTCTGATATTACGATGGTGTAGGGGACGCGACCTTCCACTAAATGATTGCTAAATTAAATACAGTATATTATAAAATTTATAAATAAAATTATATTCTAAAATTATATTCTATACTGATAATTATTGATGCTAATGAATGATAATGAATGCAGCCGGCTTGATTGCTGTCCGAACACGCACTGGCTTTTTTAGTTGTGTTTCTATGTATTTATAACACACCTACTAAGCATTATTGCTTAGGTGTTCGGTAGCAACTAGCAACCTTTGGACCGAACATAATTTTACCAACAAACATTTTTGATGAAACTTTACCAGAAATTTTTTTTCGTCATCTTGGACGATATTTTCATGGTAACTAAGAAAAAAAAAATATTTTTTTTTGACACACCCTACATATATATGTATCTATACTAATATTATAATGAGGTAAAGTTTGTGACGTTGTAGGGGGTAATCTCTGGATCTACTGAACCGATTTAGATGAAATTTGGTAAGAAGATAGTTTGAGACCCTGGGAAAGACATTAGATACTTTTTATCCCGGAAATTATCCCTTAATGGGGTGAAAATGGGTATCAAAATTTGTATGGGGAATCAATGAATGTATATATAGTGACAGTATAATATGAGCAGTTAACAGTAGCGTGCGTACTGCGTACAGCGTACCTGCAGAGCGCGTCGTCGTCGGGCGTATCGGAGCCGCTGGTGTCGCTGGTGGCCTCGCTGCCGCCGCCGCGGTAGCGCTCCACACCTTCTACTTACGTTTAAATTCACATTTAAATGTCAATAGAATAAATTAACATTACAGAAATACTAATAAGTGAATGTTTGACAAACACACTACAAGCATATCGGAAAAAATATTCTAGTTCTGATAAGAACTTAGTTTTTCAAAGTATTATGTTTACATGAACGATTAACTTTAAGCTTAATACACGATGTACAATGAACTGTGAGTGTACGATGAACAAATGACTATCTTCTGAAGTATCTGTTAAATAAAACTACTGTTAGGCACGGCATCAAGGTACACGTCCGAGCAAAGCGATGGCAAGTCACTAGTTAAAAATATATAATGCATACAATTTACATCATGAACAATTTTATTCAGTATTAACTCGATGGATTAAAAGACTGTAAAAAGCAATAAACGACATTTTATGAAGTAAAAAAGCAAAGATATACCTCTTCTATCATCACAGTCGGGCGCGTCTTCGAGAGACCTTAAAATCTCCATACAAAGGTCGCTGTCTAACGGCACAGGGTTATCGGATTCACTGAAAACGATGAAAATATATTATATGATTTAAAGAACTCTATTTATCTATTCTATATATATAATAAAATTGTAAGTGAACCGAATCTATACATTAAATATTTTTTGGAAAATCTTATTTAATTGAAATAGACATTATTATCGGTATAAAGGCCGAACGTATAGTTTTTAGAATTTTTGTCTATCTGTCTGACCGCATTACGGAAAAATCACTGGAGGCATTTTGATGAAATTTTTTGAAAAATAGTTGATTATCCGGGTCAACATATAGAATACTTTTTACAGCGGAAAAATATCTCATCTCTGAGAAATCTATACTAAACGTTAAAACGTAAGTAGAGACGAACCCGAGCTGAGTCGCTAGTATGTTTATAAGATTTCAGCTGAAATACTATTTTAATATAAAAATATTTAAAAATACGTCAAAATATGAAAATAATACCCAAAAGGTATATTTCAATATATTAGAGAATTTTATTTTATATTTATGCAGAATATTTGTTTGAAACTTCAATAAAAAATATTTTACTAGAATTTCCCATGTGGGATTAACTTTTACTGACATTTCATGCTTTACTAAATTTTAGTAAATCATAACATAAACATAATTTTGATTATCATAATGTTGTAAATATAAGAATTTATACATACATACATACGTGTTTTTGCTACTTTTAAACACTTATACAAAGCTTATATCTTGAGTAATAAAATGTAAAGGCAAAACTTTTATCTTTATTTATATCTATCTGTCTTTATACATAAAAATGAATGTTCGTATATTTGTTCTCTGTGTGTTCTTGTAAAGTTGTGTGTTATAATAAAGTTCTTGGAGCAAAAAAATATCTTTAAACGTTTGTCTTTTATGCATAACTAAAACATTCAAGCGTCCCTAAGGACGCACCCGTCACATGAAATGAACTAAAAATGAAAGGTATGATATGTAGTGTGCGTGTATGTATGTGTGTGCGGGGGAGGAGTGGAGGGGAGGGGTACCGGTTGTGCAGCACGAGCGCGACGGCGGGCGGCGCGGGCAGCGGCGGCAGGTGCGCGTGGCGCGGGCTGAAGGCGGCCGCGTCCAGCGCGGGCGGCGGCACGCGCGGCGCCGGCGTGCCGCTCCACTCGCCCCACACGCCTGCGCAGCGCCACACAATTTATTGTTATTATTTCAAACCATTGGTGTTCAATTAAAGAAGGATTTCTCGCGAACTATTATTAGTATGAAATATTATATATATTTTATTATGATTACATTACTTATTTATTAAGAAATAGATGTGGAAAAATAGAAGACATCCTTATTTAGATGTATTTCTTGTGTGTTTTACGTCACATTTTCGTGTTTGATCTTTTTAATATTTCTTAATATAAGAATTATAAAAAATGATATTACAATTTAGTCCTTACTTCAGTCAATTTTCTTTAAATATATGTAACGTCACCCTTGAAGTATATATTATGCATATACTCGTAACTCACTCGTTAAACAAAAAGTGTAAATTTTCGTGAATTTATTAATATATTTGGTCTCGGACATTTCGAACGATTGCAGCAATCATAGTCACAGAAGAGACTCTTCAAAAGATAGTCTTATTTAATATGTGAAATAGTCTCGTAAATCTAACAGTAAGTAGGTATGTGTGTATGTGTGTACGCGTACCGGGCGCGGGGCGCCAGTCGTCGCGCTCGGCGAGCACGTCGGGCGGCGCGGGGTGGCGCGCGGCCAGCTCCCGCCAGCGCGCCGCGCCCGCGCCCGCCTCCAGCGCCACGCGCGCCTCGCCCTCCTCCAGCGCTACCAGGATCTCCGCGTCGAACACCTGCCCGCACAGCAGTTTTTTTTAACTTATACTTTTTATAGGGTGGAGAAAATATTTTTTTTGTAGCTTGTGCGTAGAATTTGTAGCTTATAGAAAAAAAACAAAATTATTCTAACTATCTATAATATCACTGTATATGTTATATGTTGCATTATTACAATTTAAAAAAAAATGAAAAAAATAACATGGTACTTTTTATATTACTTTTATTGAATGTTTTCAAAGATGATTACTACAAAAATTAAAATCAGTGGGCCACCTAAAAATGTGGAGTAAAAATTTTTTTTTTCAATTTTCTTTTACAAGCTACATATTGTACCTCAAAGCGAAGAGAAAATTTTTTTTTCGCTCCACCCTAATACTTTTTTCGGCGCGTTACGTAAAAAAGACACAATTAGACTACAGTATGAAATTAGTCGTTATATCTCCCTTTAGTATAGTGGTATACGTAAAAGCATTTCCCAACATTAGAAAAAAAAAGGAGTCGACAGGTAGAAATAATCCCGAAACAAAAAGGTTACGTAACTAAAAAGGTTAGTCTTTTTGTGGGTTAAATAAACACCATTTATTAATTTAAGACAGTTTCTAAAAATCAGTCACTATTTTACTGGTTTCTAGAAACTGTTACTGATCTATTAACACATATCATACACAGCAGTCATTATGCTGAGTTTCTTTCGACAGTTCTTCTCAGGTCTGAGGCTTCTTCTTTCCAAACTGGTAGTAGTCATGTGACGTTCAGTAAAAAATTGTAATAATTTAATGCTGACTAAAATATATTGAATTTGAATGATATGTGATGACTGATGAGTGAAGCAAGCGCTGCATAATATCGCATTATTTATTTGACTTTGCATACATAATGGTGAGTGAGTAGTTTGGGTGAGTGAGTGAGAGTGACTCACGTCGACGAGCGTGTTGGCGGCGAGCGCGTGCCAGTCGGCGGGCTCGAGGCCGCGCGCCGCCCACCACTCGTCCGCGCGCGCCGCCGCGCCCCACATCACTGCCAGCTCCACCGCCGACGCGTGCACTGCTTTCTGCCACACCACCACAAGACACAATCATTCATATATAAAAACATACATACATACACATCTCCTACCAAATATCTCTTCAAAATAAAGTTCAAAAAACAAATTCGGATTCACGAACATCACATAAAGTACTTTTTTCTATTTTTTCTTTTATTTCTATTTATTAAAAAAAAACAAATTTCGAGATAAAATACTGCAAGTGCAAGTAGCTCCTATCCAGCAACCATGGTGTTAGGCAATCTAGTCGCAAACAATAAACAGGATATCTCAAACTTGTTTGCTAAACACTTTTCCTCAGTCTATGAAATAGACACCTGTGCGTCGCGTTGCAATACTTTAAATCCCCATTCATACATGGGAAATATTTTTCTATCTCAAGCTGATGTCGAGAAAAAACTAAAAAGACTTGACACATCCAAGGGCGCCGGTCCTGATAATATCCATCCTGTGTTTATATCGCGTTGCGCAACCAAACTGTCTTTTCCTTTGCATTTGATCTATAGCACTTCTCTGAGAACAGGAGTGTTCCCGGTTAAATGGAAGGAAGCAAGAATAGTACCAGTATTAAAAGGTGGGAATGCAGAATCTATAGAGAATTATCGTCCTATCTCGATTTTGTCAACTGCGTCAAAAGTCTTTGAGAGTCTAGTGCATCAACATTTGCTTAGTATGGTGAGACATAATCTAAGTCAGGATCAACATGGTTTTATGTCAGGAAGATCTTCTAACACTAATCTTGTATCTTATATTAGTGAAATCACAGAAGTTATCGATGGTGGAGATCAAATAGACGCTATTTACACTGATTTCTCAAAGGCATTTGACAAAGTTAACCATAACATATTAATTGAACGATTAAAGTCTTTTAATGTAACCGATGCTTTAATATGCTGGTGTGAGTCTTATCTACGCTTAAGATCGTCTACTGTTGTAATCGATGGATTTCAGTCGGTTTCATTTACGGCTAACTCAGGTGTACCACAGGGATCAATTTTGGGACCTATATTGTTTAATATCTTTATAGATAATATAACAAACATTTTCAAGTACTCAAAAATATATATGTATGCCGATGACCTAAAGATGATTCGAAAAATCCAAACTTATGATGACGCGATATATTTACAAAATGACTTAGATGAACTATATAAATGGTGTAAGGCTAATAAAATGAATCTAAATGCAAAAAAATGTCATTACATCCAGTTTACACGTAAAAAGAAAAAGATAAATTATGAATATAAAATATCGAATGTGACTATAGCCCAAGTGGATGTTGTCTGCGACTTAGGGGTGTTCTTGGATTCTAAATTGCAATTTACTTCACATATAGATTATGTCTCGAAAGTAGCTTATAAGTCATTAGGGTTTGTTCTCAGACATGCAAAGGAATTCCATAAAATTACAACTGTATTATTGCTTTTTAATTGTTTTGTCCGAAGCAGATTGGAATATTGTTCTGTTGTTTGGTCGCCTCAATACAATGTCCATGTTGATAGAATTGAACGTATTCAAAAAAAGTTTTTGAAGTTCTTAACATATTGGTTCAGGTTTCCTAATTGCTGCACAGGATATGAAAGCAAACTAAAGCATATTCGTCAGCTATCTCTAAACGCAAGAAGAAAGCTTTTAGATCTAATGTTTCTATCCAAGCTGCTAAATAACAGAATCGATTGCCCGACTCTACTGTCGAAAGTAAATTTTAATTTACCAGTGAGAACTTCTAGAAAGCAAATTGCCCTCTTTCGAATTAATAAACATAAAACGAACCTAGGAAAAAATGCGCCACTTAACCGAATAGCTAGAACCTATAATGGCATTACTTCGGAAAATAGGGGGGTAGACATTTTGCATGACACATTTAACGCCTTTAAAAAAAAAATTAATTGCTATCTTGATCAAATTCAATATTAATCTTTCTTTCTTTTAAAAAAAAAATGTTATTAATTTGATTGCATGCTGTTTCTCAATTTTTAATTTTTATGCTATAAATATAAATATAATAGGTACATATTAATTGTTTAAATTAGTTATTATTGATTTTTTTGTTTTAAAATTCTATATTTTTTAATTTGTAATTTTAATGAATTATTATTTTTTTAAATTAAATTGGAATTATTATTATACTATTAATTAATACTAATGTGATAGCCTGTTAAAGTTAGCAAGTTGTAACTACCTATAATTAAAAGTGCAATTATCATGATAAATTATATGTAACCTAAGTTTAAGTATTATAATATTGTAACTTTTGTTGGTAGTTCAATAAATAAATAAATAAATAAATAAATAAATAAATAAATAAATAAATAAATAAATAAATAAATAAATAAATAAATAAATAAATAAAGTGCCGTAGAAAACGATCCTGTGCTGGCTATCCTATCTTGGGTATTCTTCGCGACTGCGGCTAAACAACAGCATTTCCAAAGAGGATTAATATCGGACCAGTTGTACAACTTTTGCCAAAATCGATCAACAGACGTACCGCGCCGACCCCAAGTAATTTGGGAAATGGACAGGAGGATGATGATGAGATTCCAACAAATAACTATATAGTAAAACGTGTATATTATACTCGTATATATCTCACCCGCAGGTCGTGCGGCAGCATGCGCACGCGCGCGCGCGCCGCGTCGGCCAGCGGCAGCGCCAGGTCGCGGCGCCGCGCCGCCAGCTTCTCGCGCGCCGACCACACCAGCTCCGCGCACTCCTTCTCCACCTGCTTGTACGCGCCCGTCTGCGACACCAACTATCTTATAATATTCATCGTACGACACATGTACGGTTTCACGTACAATTTTAGTTTTGTTCACTTTACGCGATAGCTTTTGTATTTTTATTTTTTTATTTTATTCGGGAAACAAACAGCACAAAGTCATAAAAAAAAAAAACATAACATAGAATATAATCCATTGACCAATAAAGTTTTCACAATTAAGTAATACATAGAATAAATCGGGCAAATTAATTACAATAAAAAAATCATTAATAGAAAATAATTAATGATTTTAGTAATAATTACACAATTATAGTTAGTTTCCGAGGCAATGCGTGGGTATATTTTTTACGAGTGCATTTAAAAACACCAAGCCGAACAGACATGGCTAGTTAAGAGTCGTCAAAATTATATTGTAATTTCAGTAATTAAAGTACTTCAAACTACTGCTCTAACTGGGACGGTACAGACACAATATACTATATTATATTTTATTCATTCATTAATAACGCCCCTGAATGCTCTGCCCATTTACGAAAATTTTCGAAAGGGACGATTTTCTAATTTAACACAAAAATATTATCATACTTTAATTCAACCATTACTATCCTATGCCATCTGTACCTGGGGTGGTACGCATGGTACACACCTGCTTCCTTTAGAAAGGGCACAAAGAGCCATTCTTAAACGCATAATTCGTAAGAATTTTACGTATCCAACTAGTCTTGTCTTCAAGGAATGCTCCGTTTTAACAGTCAGACAGCTCTACATTTTAAGCCTGTCTCTGCGATGTCATGCAACAAGTTTCTCTGTTAGCCAACAACCGCAAAAGCGTACTGCAAGAAATGTTTGTGTAGCGAAAAAATCTAGAACTGCCCTTGCTAGAAGACAAAATAGTATAATGGGAGCTCATTTATATAATAAAATAATTAATATCAGTTGCAAGCCCCGTCCCAGAGCAAAAATCATTCTTACCTCATGGCTTAAGAGTCTTACCTATGATGAAACAGAAGACCTGTTAAAATCCCTAACTTGAAACTGATTGTTTAATACATACTCACACTCATGTTCACACAATTATAGGACATATCCTTACATAACTCATACACACACACATACGCACACACACACATACGCACACATACACATACATTACACTTATACACATATCATTAGAATTATTGTTAATATTTTTATTTATCCTTAATAGTATTAATTTTTAATGCATGCTATTTTACTGTGAATAATGTTGGTGTTAATTATACATATTGTTCAACATGGAAGGCAAGACGCTCGTAATACAAGTTCACTTAGTACGAGTGTCTTAGATTTGTATAAATGATTTCTGTATTTGATAAATGAATAAATAAATAAATAAATAAATAAATAAATAAAAATACTGATAGCTTGTTTTCGTAATTTGCTTATAAATTATACCTTACTAATATTATAAATAGCATTATAAGCGAGTGAGAATATTTCTTTATATCCCCACGTTGCACAAGTAAAATTCATCATACAGATCATATTTTAATGGATTCACGTGTAAAAGTTTATTGTTATTCGTTTTTTATCATAAGGTTTTTTTTAAGTATAAGCTTTTTTTATCTACCTGCCCATCACCCAGGTAGAGCTGATGATAAAAACTAACATTATATTGTATTTGTTAAATTTATTTTTTAATTATATTATATATAGTATTATCATAAGTCATAACCGCAACTGACAAAATATTAAAAACAAAATCAGTGGTGCACCTTAGCGATCTGCACAGAGAAGGGTCCGAAGCACGCGTCGACGAAGTGCTGGTAGTCCTTGAGCGGGCGCTCGATGGCGGCCTCGGTGTCCGCCGCCCACGCCGCCAGCGCCTCCAGCTCGCCGCGCGCGCACACCGCCGCCAGCGCCTGCGCCGCGCTGCACGCACGCACACACACACAGTATAGTATTGCGTAATATGCAAACGTACATATATATATTTCCGGGATAAAAAGTATCCTATGTCCTTTCCAGAGTCTCAAACTATGTTCTTACCAAATTTCATTTAAATCGGTTTAGTAGATCCAGAGATTACTCCCTACAACGTCACAAATTCACAAACTTTACCTCTTTATAATATTAGTATAGATAACATTTGACACGCGCACACCCTTGCTTACGTTTGCGCCGCACTGCACACGTACACACATTACAGTATATACCACAGACTAAGGAATTATATAGAAAGAATGTCATACTGCACATGAGTCAAACAATAATGATTTAAAATGAATAAATAAATTCGCTGAAATAAATGTCAAAATGAAAAATAGCCAGCCAATAATTTTGCTAAAACATTTTATTATGCTTTTGTTTTTAAATGAAACTTTCATTAGTTTCTAAATATACATATTTTTTGTAATTACAATAGTGGACCTCGTAAAATTTAATTAAAACTTGCAATTATCATGTCTTTTTTAGTTATTTATATACAAAGCATATCAATAAAAACGTTAATTTATAAGTATCAGAACAGTAGAACAGTGGCAGTGGTGATGACTCACGTGATCTGGTAGGAGGCGTGCGTGTGCAGCGCGGGGCCGGCCACGCGGCGGCAGTAGCGCGAGTCGTGCGCCGGCACGCGCGCCGCGCGCACGATCAGCGCGCGCCACGCCACCGCCTCCCACGCGCCGCGCGCCACCCACCACCCCACCCCGCCTGCACCAACGAGTACACAATCATTCATGAGGCTCCAAAATCCGTATAGTACTACTTCCCTAAGGAATATGCATGATGTTTCTTTAATTTTTTTATAGAATACCTAAAATAAAGATAATCCAGTGATGACGCGCTCTCTTGGAAAACCGAGTGAAGTGGGTTCAAATCCCGGGTCTCGCACCTCTGATATTTTCATGTGCGACTAATTTCTAACACGATTACCACTTGCCTTACGGTGAAGGAAAACATCGTGAGGAAACCTGCGTGTATAACAGAACCCTTGCTAAGTTTTCGAAAGACATGTGAAGCCCTACAATTCGTTGTCTAAATACTGAAGATAATATAATGGAGATGACATTAGATAAAAGAAAAAAAACATTTTAAATTATAAAACTCACCAACAAGTAATATAAGAGCTGCGAGTGGACATAAAAAGATAGCAACTAGGAATGCCAGAATAGGCTGCACTATACCAAGAAATCCTATTCGCCATATTATTGCTTCAAACAACACGAACCACCTGCAAATTTATAATGTCACATTGTGATTCCAACAAAAATATAACACTAGTTTTTATAATTAATTTTTGAACCTTGATACTTCTCAAATCTCCTGCGGTAAAAAGTAACCTAAGTCACTCTTCTGTCCTCGAACTATCTCCACACAAAAAATCATGTCAACCCGTCACCTGTTTCGACTTGAAAGATGGACAAACAAACAAACACTTTCACATTTATAATATTAGTATGGATGATAATTCAAATCATATTTTAGTTGGGGTTAGATTAATATACTTTGAAGTCAAAAATATATTTTTTCTTACTTTTATGAGAATTTTATGAAACACGTGTCCGTACAATCTTTAAGGGGTTAATAAAGAAAAACAACCAGTAACCTATTAAGCCTCCCCGGGTCGGGACAGTCGAGGTCGTAGACGAGCGCGAAGGCGGCGTGCAGCGCGAGCACGGCGCCGGGCAGCCACAGCGGCACGCTGGCGGCCGCCAGCAGCGCCAGCGAGCTCGCCGCCAGCGCCGCCAGTGGGAACAGCAGCAGCAGCGCCAGCGACCCGAGCCCGCCCACCACGCCGTAGTTCCACACGCGGTTCGCTTGCCTGCTGAGCCCTTTGCCGAGGAGGCCTGAAGCAATTCATATCGTGGATATCAAATATCTGCGTAGCTTTTATTTTGTTGTCTAAGAATAAACACTACGAGACTAAACGCTTGCCTCAAAACATCGGGAACGACGTGAGGTATTTTACCACATCAGAATATAAGCGATTAATCCCATAGTGTTCATTGTTAGTTATGAAAGACCAAAATTTAAAAACGCTTGTTTTTTTACTAGCTAATTACTCCCTATATAACTAATAGCAGCTACGTATTAGTTCTAATCATAGTCTACTTGTGTACTAATTTCATCCAAATCCGTTAAGCCATTTCTAAATGAATACGTAACAAACATACATACACACAAGCAAATTTTCGCAATTATAACAGTAGGTTGATTATAACAAAAAGAGATTTCTGTCATTGTATGAATTGAATTGGAAAAGTAAGAAAAAAAAATTATTACCTGTGTATATGATCGCACATATGTTTAGAAAGATGTGTAAAAGAATTATTTAAAAAATAATATATATATAATCTACAATACCTGTGTCAGGTTCGGTTTCGAACCGCGTTCTCTCTTTAGAAACGTATCGCCACAGTTTGAGCAACAAGGACCACATGGTTTGCGTTTCACTGCTGCGCTTCGGAAATAGAGTTCCATTTACCTATAAAATGTTTAAAATATAATAAAAAAACATATTATTTAATTAACATTGTTCTTCTAATATCAATTTCGTTTTTACAGATAAATTTAAACATAACAAAATAGTGTACGTTTTATAATATAAAAATAACTATTTAAAAGAATTGTATTAATTATTGTATTTTATAATCTATAATACCTATGACTTTTAAGACATCAAAAAACCTTGCATGTCTACCGCGACCATATTTGCTACGAAGAATTCTAAACGCCGGGAACCAGAAATCTAAATTAATCCGCGAAATAATCGGAGAAGATAGTTTTATTTGAAATGTCAAATATTCGCGTAAATCTATGAAAGTTTTATAGGTAAAAATTACCTGTGAAAGTTCAAGATCGGGCACAAACGGTTTGACACAGAGCAGAGTGCGCAGCGACAGCGGCGAGCACCAGGGCAGCAGCACGCCCAGCACGAACATCAGGTTCCACGTCCAGCACCAAGTTCTAAACATTCAAATTGTATTTAATAAAAAAAAATAGTGTGGTTCGTCGAAACTAATTTATTATCCCTAATTCGGAGGTAGGCATTAAAGTAACAAGTATTAGTAGGCATTGAATGAGTTCTTGGCTTCATAATTAAATAACTTGATCAAAATCTCTATACTAAAATACATCAAAGTAGGTTTGCTTAGGCGTAAATGCGTACCCCCCCAACGTGCGTTCACCTTGTCGTGGTGGGGGGGCTCAGTAGTGCCCGGCAATCCAACCGGGCGCGAAGCTAAGAAACGCACAGGGAGGTTGCCCACTTCGGTGGGCGGTGGGAGGTGGCCCTCTTGGGGGGCGGTGTACCATGCGGGTTGCTCCTGGTACTTCTATGATAGCAGAGTGGACTGTGGAGCAACCCCATGGTTGTGGTGGTCTGCTTCGGCAGACCTGCCGTCGGGGCGTCGTAGTTGAATGCGTAAGCGATCCTGCGACGCCCCATTAAGACGGGGGAAGGTTTTGTTGGGTTTTAGTGGGTAGTACTGGCTGTATTACGCCGGTGAGTCCCACACGTCGTGCGTAAATGCATTTCCCAACGTTAAAAAAAAAAAAAAAAAAAAAAGGCGTAAATGCGTAACAGACAGACAGAGTTACTTCGGCATTTATAATATAACGGTTAGTATGGATTAGATAAACTATATGTTATATATAAGGATGAGTTCTTGTGCGTTGTGTTATAACGTGTTTCACGTGGGTATGAGATAATCTCCCGCGGTAAAAAGTAGCCTATGTCACTCTCGGCCACTGCGTTTCGACTTGAAAGAAGGACAAACAAACAAAGAAACAAACAAACTAACATACTTTCATATTTATAATATTAAAAATACTTTAGAAGTATGGATAATGGATTTACTATGGAATTTATTTTACATGTACACTTTCAAAGTTTCAAAACAATTAGAAAAATTTGACAATGAGAACACACTAAGAACTAACTCTCTATTTCTAAATGAAGGAAATTTAGAAAATAAATATACCTGTGTGCTAAATTGAGCAACCTCCACCCTGGCCACCGGGTGGTGGTGGTCCTGGTGGTGTCCAGGTGCGCCAGGAACACGGGCTGCGAGGGGTCGGAGCGCGGCGTCACGATGCTGGTGGCGCGCGCGCTCACCACGGTGGGGATGCGCTCGGAGCGCCCGCGGAAGTGGCGCACGATCTCCCAGTTCCGCGGCAGCCATATGCGGGTCGCCCATACGAACTCGCGGGTCGGAGTTTTTGCTGCGCGAAGCTCCTGGAATTGATATGTATATTTAATATTACTAATAAAATATTAAGTTTTTTTTTTCAACGTAACCTGATTTGAGAATGGTGCTTTATAAGAAGCTATTCGCTCATTCAAATAGCTTTTTCTAAGAGAACGCGTTGAAAATTAAATTCTTTTTAAATATATTACCTAATATAATAATATAAACATCGGTATAACAAACTAATGTTCGTAAGTAAGTCAGTATGCTTGTTCCATAGAATGAATTAGTACTTAATTCCTATCAACATATTTACCTTGCAAGCAGAACCGCAGACAAAAACTAGTTATATTATAAACCTTGCAATTATCATCAGTGCATAACCAAAATAAATTAGACATAATATATGAAAAAATATAATAACAGTACCAGGACACCATAAAACGGTGGCAATGGAAAGCCGTATAACTTGCTAGAGTACTATTTACCTTCATAAGCAACGGCTCCCGATCTCTCAGAAACGTCAGATCCCTCAACAAGAAGTATCTGTGTTGCGGCAGCTTGTTCCCTTGCATTGCGTTCGCGGCGTCCTCCATGCCGGCCCAGCGGAGCTCATTGCGCAGGCCCTGGGCCGCTACGGCGAGCTTCTCCTTGCGCCACGCTTCGGCCCGCGAGAGGATTGGATGGGAAGCCCTGATGCGCGCTTCGGCAGTCGCGAGGCCCGCTTCGAGCTTACGTCGGATGCCTTCTTCCGCTCTGTTGACGTTACCACGATGTTTTTTATAATTTTGGTTTTATAAGTAATATTTTATTGAAATTGAAAAAGTATTGTAAACCTTAAATAGACATATTTAAATGCAGGCACAGCGAACAAACTTAAAATACGTATAGGATTAGGATAGAAATTCTTAAGATACAAATGGCATACGTAAAAACACCACATATTATACATTAAAGCCTTCCGGCGAGCTGAGTTTGTTTGTGTAACCTCAGAACTACTCAGGCAGGTACAAATTTTCATACGGTTTTCAAGAAAAAGACGAGATATTCTCTAAAGAGGTTATAATTTATTTAAAACATATTGCGAGAATAGGCTACCGCTATGATATTTTTATATTAAGTTTGTAAAATATATTTTGAAAGGACCCTCGTAATATTGTAATTTAGAAGGGCATCACTAGTCGGATTTCTATTATAAATACGTATATGTGTATGTTTGTTGCTCTTTCACACAATTTAGTACACAGATAGTCTCCTACTTGGAGTAATACATAGGTCAATGTTAGGCAAATATGGATACACTAGTAACATTATAAAGCAAGCAAATAATAACTTCAATTTCATTTTAAATAAAATTCGAAGTGGAAAAAGTCCACCAAAAATTATAAACAAAAATTTCAATTACATAACTTTATAAAACTGTTTGATTCTCTAATTTAAATGCGTGATATAAAAACTTTCAAAAAATTAAAAAAATTGAAAACTAAAAAAAGGTACAGACAAAAAGTCTACGGTGTTCGTTATACTCATTAAAAAAAAAACTCCACCTGTTGACAATGACGGCGGCGCGCAGCTGCGCGGCCAGCAGGTCGGGCACGCCCGCGCCCAGCGCCGCCAGCGCCTCGCTCGCCAGCACCGCGCCGCACACGCGCGACACGTACTCGCGCATCGCCGCCGCGCTCACCTCCTGCACAACGCCCAATATGTTATCTGTATACCTTTGTTATCTGAGCTTATTAACCGACTTCCAAAGAGGATGAGGTTTTCAATTCATCAGAATCTTTTTTATTATGTATGTTCACCGATTACTCGAAGACGCCTGAACCGATTTGGAATTTTTATTTTGTTTCGAAGAGTATAACTTGTCAGGTGGTCCCAATTAAGTTTTATCGAAATCGGTCGAGCGGTTTTTAAAAAAATCAAGAATAAAAATGGTTTTTAATAAATAGCTTAATTGAATATGTTATAAAAAAGCTGTCTTCTTACAAATTACCTGCTTATAACGTCTACACTAAAAATGGAAAAATACAAACTTAAGTTATTATCATATATCTATTCAGAGTTCCCTAGGTGGTCTAGTGGCTAGCATGTAGGGTCCTGGGTTCGAGTCCTGGGGCGGGTCGAGTTCACTTATCGAGTATTCCTGTCAAGAAATACCCAGTAACGGCCAGGAGTTGGGAAGTTGGCGGTTTCATCGGAGAACGCGGTAAGCAGTTGGTCATGCACCTGATCTCTAACCTATCATTTTAAACTATCCCAACGAAATTAAAGAGTGAAAGGAATTGAATATGTCTCAGTGAGACTAGACGTCGGAGCAAAAATCAGACAGAAGGAGATTCTGATTCATAATTTATTTTATTAACATATCAGTTTAGACTAAAACAAGCAATGTACCTCTTCAATATCTTTCATAGGCATCTTCTGGCTGGCGAGTAGGGCGGCTCTCCGCTCGCGGAAGTGTAGGAACCAGCCCCTGGACTCTCTGTCCAGGATGGTCTGCAGCGCCGGGGCCGCGCGGCGCAGCAGGTCACGCTTGTACAGACGGAGGTCAACCTGGGTTACAAGTAGGAAAATAACATAGAATAAAACGTACCTAGAAATAAAATTGGTATGTTTGTCTGTGTTTTCAAAATAACTATGTTTTCTCTAAGTACATAGAATTATTTATGTGGTACCTGTATCTAGACAACCCTTTTTAAAAAAATTGTCTGTCTGTCTGTCCGAAGTAATTATTGGAACGGCTTAACCGATTGTAATGGAACTTTAACTGAAAGATAGAGGAGTTTATAGGGCTACATATAGATGATATTTTATTCCGGAAATATTTAGGGTTCCAGCGCGAACATCGAAAACCCTTAAAAATTACGTAAAATTCGAATGTACGATTAAAATTGCTAAGGACGCACCCAAACACAGCGAGGATAAGACGCTAATTTTCGAAATAAATATTTAAATTTGTAAAACTATTGCCGTTACTTACACTTACGTGACCCAATCACGGACAAATGGTATTGCGATTTGATTTATACGTTTTATGTATAAATCAGAAAACTAAAAAAAACAGTCAATAACGTTATGAGTGCTCCAGATATAATTATTTTCTAATTATTTAAAAAAAAAATATCTAAATCAAAATAAGCATACATAAAAGAAAACAATTAAATAGAGTCAAACGACAGATTACTTAGCAAGTAGCAACTAACCAGTTTCGTTCGGTTCCATACTGTTTTACTCTACGTATGTACGTAGATTGTAATATATTAACTTCGATGATCGATTACAAACGTTAAAAAAAAAATTCAATTTTGGCAATAGAAATACATACTCTGTAAAAATTTCAACTCTCTACCTATTACGGTACATGAGATACAGCCCTCTAACAGACATACGGACGGACAGCGGAGGGTAATAGGGTTCCGTTGGTACCTTTCTGTTACGAAACCCTACAAAGTCATAATTTACCATTACTACTGATAAACAATTTCGATGAGACTAGTAATTTGATGAAAAATCTAGCCTATACAGTGTACCTGAGTCCTTTGCGGTGTTGTATACAAGTAGGGCACTCTGGGCGCGGCGCGTGAAGAAGAGTCCCTCGCGTCCCTTTTCTCAGTGGACGCCCGTCGCATCGCGCGCGTCACCCACGCGGCTAACGCTGCTATGTCCTCTTGATTTTCCGGCTAAAATAACCAAAATAATCAAACAATTATTTATATCTATACAGATAAATAAAATTGAAGTGTCTGTTTGTATTGTCAAAATAACAGCTTTTTACTAAATGCATATGAAATTATATACGGTACTTATAAGAGAAACACAATTTTTAATATTTTAGTCTGTCTGTTTGTACCGGCTAATCTCCGAAACAGCTGGACCGATTTTGGCGCTACTTTCACTGGCAGATAGCTGATGTTAAAAGGAGTAACTAAGGCTACTTTTATTTAAGAAAAAGGATTAGGATTCCGCGCAAAAAAAGTTTTTTTTATTATAAGTACCATATAGACTTTCATATTTAGGTATTTAGTAATTTAGTAAAAAACTGTTATTTTGACATAACAAACAATTAAATTTTATTTATCTGTAGATAAGTAAAACCGGGTAGGGAAGATAAATATCTAGACTCCCCGATTCCTCTCACCACAATAGAAATATGTAGGACTCTTACATACCTCCATTAAATCCTTAATTTCAACTTTGATGCATCGAAATAAAATGTAGTCTGTTTCAGTCTGTCAGTGTGTCTGTGTCAGTTTTATCAGTTATTGTAACAAAAAGAACTCACCAACTGACTCACTGATGTATTTACAATATTATCAAGTAAAGAAAGTTTTAAAAATATCTTTCCCATATTCACATTTTTTTCTTAAAAATTGTATTAATCTTAAAGGATTTATTGTGCGAGATGAAGAATAGCTAAAGTTCATATAATATGTATCTAGATACTTTATACAAATGATATCGATATCAGTTTAGTAGATTAACCGTAATAAAATAGACGGACACACTTTCGTATTACTAATATAGCAACTCACAGGAATGGCCATAATAAAGCTTCTTTACCTTACATATAAGTTCAGCAACAAGATACCGTGAGCGCTCTTCTCGTATTTTTTTCTCTAGATCGCGTGCTTCGAGCGATGGCATTCCAAATATGACATCCATTAATCTGTTAAAAATTAAATATACATGTACAGATGAGTCAATCGTGACAAATGTCACTTAATTTATTATTATAAAATAAAATTCTTAGTTATTACTTGGTTTAATAGCTTATATAGAGATACGAGAACTCTTAAAAGTATACTTAAATTGTTTTTTTTTTTAATTTTTAGTCTAATTAGAAGCTATACTAGGAAGGAAAATATGACAAAGGGTTCATATTAAGATAATTATATTAAAAAAATCTTAATCTTTCCTTACCTATGCAACCCTTGCATCAACGCCTTAGCCCCAGCGATAAGAGAAAGTGGTTCATCTCGCAGGAGTCTATCGCGCGACACCACGACAATGAGGGCGATAGCTCTCGCTATGTGGCAGTAGAGTTCTTCACGGGCCCGTATCCTACCCCGCTGCAGCCAACCCGCAACCCGCCACACATGCGTTTGCCCAGGAAAATGTCGTGATGGCACCTCGAACTCGCTATAACGAGGTTCTTTATATTTATATAAATAAATATGTCAGGACATTAACACACAACACCATCTAGTTCCATGGTAAGCTATGAGGCTTGTGTTATGGATACCAGATAGTTGATACATTATACATATATAACTTTAAATACATACATATTATAAATATAAACATCCATGACTGGAGTACAAACATTCGTGCTCATCACACAAATGAATGCCCCCCAGCGGGACTCGAACCCGCGACCGCTGACGCACCAAGTAGAGTCATTACAAACTGAGCCAAACGTGTCGTGTCAAATTTAAAATCTATACAATATACATACAGTGGATATAAACATTTTAAATCATTATTTTAATAGAATTCCTAAAAATACGTTTTAATACTTAAGTGTCATTTTAGCACATTTTTTGTATCACTGCCAGTGTTTATGGGAAGGTAACTACAAATTTGTGCAAATTAAAAAATTAATTGCAAAGGCCCGATAACATACTGCCTTCATAAAACCAAAAATAAAATTATTAAAAATATTTTTTATTTAAACAACCATTGAACTACTGACCTATATAACTTAATTAGACCGTAAATTACCAGAAAGAAGGCAGCTATTTTATTACATACTTCGTCAATATTAAACATAATCATCTCCGTGCTTAGTTTAGTTTAAGGTATTATTATACCACGTCTAAAAGATGCTCAAAAGGGGTTATTACGTGTGAAGGAATGCATCTACTATATAAGATGAATGTAGAAGGGACGTACCTACATATAAATAGAATAAAAAGCTTCTAAGGCATGATTGTGGGTGTGGCATGCTATGAATGTTGAACATTGTCGCCAATGTCAGACCAAATTGTGTGATGAATTTACATTTACTATAGAAATTTATAGTTTTAAATATTTGAATATTATAGTGTATTTTAGATTATTAATGCTTATGAATAAAAAATGCTCTTATGTTAAGAATAAATTTAGGTTTAGCATACACGTCTTCATTTAAGTATTTACATAGTAAAAGTCACTGGCGACAATGCATATAAAGGGGTATATAATAACATTACATAGACATAAGGGCAACGTACCCCCATTCACGAATTGAATCCAACTGTTTAATATTTAGCTTCTTCGGCTTATAATTGTCCTTGAGCAAGCTTATGAGAAAAAAATGTATGATATAATTCTATTACATGAATTCTAAACTAAAGTAAAGCATATAATTTAATTGCAAAAAATTCTTGGTTATAGCGAAAAATAAAAGTTCTAAATGCGTTATGGCATAATTTAGCAAATGTTGATATTTTATATGAAAGTGTAAGTGGATGAATAAAAATTTTAACAGATAAATGAACTCGGGACGTCTTTTTGTAAGTCGAAAATGTCGCGTATTTATACATTTTTAATCATAAAATTTGTTTTATAAAATATTTGTTTTCCAGAGCAGAATTTATTTTGGACAGAGTATTCGGAGTTAATGGAAACGAGGACGAATCTATACTAATATTATAAAGAGGTAAAGTTTGTGAGTTTGTGACGATGTAGGGGATAATCTCTGGATCTACTGACCGATTTAGATGAAATTTGGTGAAAAGATAATTTGAGACCCTGGGAAGGATGACGTACTTTTCATCCGGGAAATTATCCCTTAAGTGGGTGAAAATGGTGATGAAAATTTGTATTGGGAAGCAAGCTAGGGACGAACCCGAGCGAAGCGAGAGCGAGTCGCTAGCCACTGACATATATATCATAAATCGTAATATGTAATCAATATAGTGGTAACCTTATATTGTAGTAACCAATCAATGCCTTTTTATATATACTCGATCGTTATATATTAATTACCTATAGAAAAATATAAGGCAACCACAAATAGGATTATGCAGGTAGGTAGTAGGTATTAGTGACTTCATTAGTTTTAAATTAAAATTACAATTACGTAAAAAAGCTAATATTAGAATAAGAAAAAGATTATTTCGTTATGTTTTATGTTTCTTTACAGACTTTTTAACATAGGTCCATATTTTAAATCTAGTGTTTAATTATCTATACTAATAAATGGAGAGCCGATTTTTTTGTTCGGTTATACTGTGATAACTATTGAACCGATCGGAATAATAATCATACTATATATAAGATGCAGCGTGTCTCGGAGCAGGTTTTAATATATAATAATATGTTGGTGATTAATGTAGGTACTATGCGAGCGGAGACGCAGGAAAACGCTAGTAGTATATAGAATATATCAACTGTCTGGAAATGCCATAATTATGTAGGACTGTAATATTATTGGACGATGTTCAAAGATATGTGAGTATTAAACTAGTGTAACCTTGAGTGTTTTTGATAACTGTCTCAATATTTAAGCTTCTACGAGTACAATACATATTATATTCGCAACATGGATTCATTGGGCGGTTTTCAAATAAAGTTTTTTAGATTTTAGCAAGGGACTTTTTGTGGGCGTACGGTATACGAGTAATTCTGTAATACAGGACTTACTCAATAAGATTAAGTTCCCAAATAATACCGCGGATTACCGCGGATTTTTATTAAAAAATGCCGTAAACAATTGAATTGTGATCAACCTCATAATATGACGAATAAATAGAAGATTAATTATAGAACAACAGATACAACCTGTTAAGAAACAGCAAGTTGATAGAGAATAAAAAATAAATATATTCAGATCTTTTTTACGTCCCACTGCTGGGCACGGGCCTGCCTTCAATATGAGGGTGATCAGGCCATAGTCTACCGCGCTGGCCAAATGCGGGTTGGCGGACTTCACGTATTTCGAAAACTTGCTAGGTTCTCTCAGACATGGAGGTTCCCTCACGATGTTTTCCTTCACCGTAAGGCATAGGGTAATCATGTTAGAAATGATTCGCACATGAAAATATCAGAGGTGCGAGACCCGGAATTTGAACCCGCTTCACTCGGTTTCCCAAGTGAGCGCGTTAACCACTGGGCTACCACTGTCAAAGAAACATATAAGAAGTAAGAAATATAAAATTCAAATAATTTAAATATTATCAGCATTTACTCCATACATTAATTTAAAACACATTAAAAAGTTGGTCAACAATTAGTGTAACACTCATTTCGAATACAGCGTTGAGCGTAAACGCTAATTGAAGTAAACGAGGCCGAAGGATCAAAAGCTCAGTACATCGTGTTCTTTTGTAAAATGAAAATGAATGCAAAAGAGACGCGCATAATCCCTTCGTGTGTATGATTATAAACTAGGGCATAGCTTTAGTGTCACTGGAGCGCTTTGAATGGAAGGATTTGAATAAAAATGGTTTTAAACTTAATCATAAAGAGGAAAAATATTATTTTAAAACGTTATTATCACTTTTTAGCTAAGCTTGCTTGTTTTGTGTTTTAGTTAATGTATCGCCTTTTGATATTACGTTTAAGGCGAATATACCATAATCGAGACGAAAATAACCTTATTTATAACATATAATTTAGAAAAAATACGCCGTTATGTAGAAGATATGTTTTGTTATAAATAAACACAATATAATTTAACTTAATTTAATTAGCTCTATGCAAGCATTATCGAAAAATGCTATAATGAGGTTGTTAATATTTCACCCAACTTTTAAGGAAAAAGAAAAGAAAGGCTACAAAAACTATGATTATATATTTATTACTTACCCTTTTTCTCTTATAGAATGAAGCTGCTTTGGTGAAAGGGGGTGGGGTTCGACGCCCGCGTCGAGTGCCGCGGCGTCCAGCTCGTCGCATGGCGGCGCGATTATAATATCCGATGGTCGATTGCCAGGACCCGTGAATCTGGACTGGGGGAGCACTAAGAAATAAAAAACAACAAAATTAAAATTCAATGTTATGTTTATTTGACTGTAATTATGTTTGTACGCCACCGCCTTAATTTGTTAGGAATCAAACAAATGCTTAAACAGTATGTTTAAGATAACAATGTGCGTTAACTAAACGATTTATATAGTAGATCTTGTAATTATAAAAGAAAAATGGTTGATTTACATTAGATTAATGGAAAATAATTAAATTTAGTTTATGTAAATATAATCAAAATGAAACTAAACACTGAAAGGGGATCTCTACAAATAAAGATAAAATATATACTTGATTCTAAATTATAAGAGAAAAAAAAAACAACTTAAAAGGTATATTGATAAAAGGCATACTAATAGATATTAAAATAAACATAAAATAGTTGACATAATTTCAATAAAATAGATTATTTTATTTTAAAATAAAATTGAGTTTATGTAATAATTGTTTAGGTACAAAATTAAACTTTAAAGTTTTAAAATACATAATTATAATGATCTTATCATTAATTAGCTCATGAATAATTTAAAAGAAGTTCTTTTGAACTAACTGAAAAATATTTTTCTTTGTTGTAAGCCTTTGTTATGAGATACTATTGTACTATTCAAATTTAATCTTCTAGCTTGGAGAAAAAATATTGTCAGGTTAAATTATTTATGTCACAGCAAATTAAGCATTAACTTCAATGTGCCTTTGGTAAAATGTAATTGAGAACATTTTTTATGATATATCATATAAGTTTTTACTTAATTTTTAGTTTATATACTTACTAACATAATAATGTATAATAATGCATTGCAATTTTAAATTAATATTTTTATATTAATAAATATGTATTCCTATTCTAATAATAATAATAAAAAATATCCAAAAAATACACTCACCAATTGGAAAAGTTTTCCAATGGTAAAGAAAGTCTTCAGCAACTTGTTTAATATTGTTTACAAGCTGCTCGACTTCAGGTGGGGCTCCAACTAGCTGCACATCGAACCGTAAAGGCTCGCGTTCGGGAGCCGGCGCTTCCAGGACCAGCGAATTCGGTCGAGATGCGCGCTCCTCCCCAGACATCCTGTACTCCCCTCAACTGACCAGCCTCACTAATCGCATAATGATCCTGGACACTGTAGGCGGAGATATCACTTGACACCGACCACTTATTGTTTTATTATTTACATTCATTTGATCAATTTAACAAAATTCATCGTAAGTGTTGGTCCTGTGCTGTTTTATTTCTGTCATGAAATGTGATGCGGTAACATTTAGCTATTTTGGTTCTGCGTGCATTCGAATAAGAATTTCAAAAGCAAGAAAAAAATATAAAGGAACCGATATTTTCGACTCTACCAAAAGATTTGCCTTCTTTCTTGATTTGACATATGACTGATGTCAGACCAAAAAAATTTTGATACCCAACGCCATTGTGCAATAATTACTTATTTTTATATTTATGAACTATAAGAAAATAATAATTTAAATATCATACAATTCAATTGAATAAATCAGTTTCTACTGTATGTACAAAATTTTAAATATTTAAAGAAATTTATTACATAGGTATTATTCTTTTCAAGCAGGTTTCGACTTTCGACTATTTGATAATTACTTGTCTATGGTAATGTTTCTTGTGTCAATGTGGTAATTTCGATCTTGTTTGGAAAATACGGGTTTTATTTATGAAATTCATTTGCATTTACTTTATAATTAATACATTCCAATATTTCTTTTAAGTGCACTCGTTTTGAGTAGCACATTTACCAGCTGCTATATCCAGTTTGTGCTTTTGAAGAAATCTGAAGACGACCGTGTTGGGTATGTCCTAAATTGACTATCATTCTCATTTTCAACGTTATTATTTATTCGTTTTTATTGCGCGATCGGACGTACAATTTGTGTGATTCTTACATTGTCAGTTAGTTTTTATTTATTTCGGTAAGTTTTACTTCAATTCATGTATTCTTTCAGTTACATTTCTTATATTGAACATTTCTTGTTTCAGTGATATGGAGGCAATGGACATTCAGGCTGTTGAATCTAAATTGAGTGATGTGACTGTAACAGCGATACCCATGAGCGGCAAAAATTCTCACAAAGACTTAGCTCTTGGAGGCAACAGTCATGCCACCATATCCACTGTGCCTGCATCGTCACCATCATCAAACGGAAAAGATAAGGATAATAGTATGTCTAAATATGCTCAATTATTAGCAGTTATTGAGGAAATGGGCAAAGAAGTTAGACCCAGTTATTCAGGAAGTCGTAGTTCTGCAGAACGATTGAAAAGAGGCATTGTACATGCTCGTATTCTTGTAAGAGAGTGTCTCATTGAGACAGAAAGGTCTGCACGACAGTAGAACTATGTAATTTACATCTCAGTCAATTTTAGGTACCTCATTGAAGATAAGCTTATATGCGGTAAAAATTTAAACTTTTATAAACCCACATACATAGCAAAACAACACAGCAAATGTATTATAAAATATATATTGCATAATAGTTAAAGATGCAATACTTATTGTTTGTAAAAGATTTGTGTATGTTTTTAATTTTTTTTAAACAAATAAGAAAAAGTTAGATTAAAATCAAATATATAATTCAGGGTACTTAGACATTAAATTTATAAAAAAATGTGTGAAATACACTTTCAGTTTAAGAGGGAATTATATACATATTTATGGTCAAAATTTTATTTAAGATCAAAATTTGAAACAGGTCCCCAAAGAGATAACTATCCGCTTTACAAAGTATACTTAAATCTATAAAACTTGCATATTTTTATTAATGTTAAGGCTATTAAAATTAGTAAGGAAGTTATTAGGCAGTTGTGAGAATTAAAAGTTATCAACTTCAAACAATACAAAAAAACTCAATATGTTAAAAGGTGGCATTTAAAATGAAGTCTGGAGTAATTAAGTAGTATTATTGAATATTAAATATATTATTTTGTACACCTTTAAATTGATTTATGTTTAATGTGCCAAGAGTAGTATTATAATAGTCAGACAGTGGATATTAGTAAACCTTAAGTTTTCAAAATGTCATAGCAATAACACTACTTAATTATTATGTTGTGATGATGATTTGATTATAATGTCTATATATGTATTTTCATATTTTAACCTTGTTTCATAAAAATACTGTTAGTGTACTGATTTTGATCAAACACAGGCTGTGAACACAACATTTATTGTGAACATCTACCTCAAATGCAAAAAATATTAATATTTTAATATTCTTATGGACAATGTTTTATATTTAGGACAACAAACATATTACAGCTACCACATTGCAGATACCTGATATTTTTTCTATACAAATGTATGTGTTAACAGAATTATTAGTATGTAAATTTTTTCATATATAAATGATAATGAAAGTTATATACAAATATACCATCTGATTATGCAAGAGACTGTTAGGAATTCTGCAATGTGCTGTAGTTTTTAGTCAAATTAAAAAAAAAAATAGATACTAGTTTAGACATAATCTGTGCACAATTAAAACAATGACAAATACAATAGTGATATTTATATTATACTGAAGCAGGGTTCAAATTCAATACATAAAGTATAAAATATACTTTTCTGTAATAGAGATAAAGTAATAAATAATACTAAAATAGAATATATAAAAAGAGGTATTATTTGTAAAACAAAACCTTTAATAAATACATATATGTAGCTCAAGTGGATATTGAACCCTGTCCCATAGACACAGTACTTTAAATGTTAAGGCCTTGTGCATGACCTCAACTTAGGATATTATAGTTTTTAAGAGAACATGTGCTCATTCATTTTTGGTAATTATTATTTTATTAGTGTTAAGTTGTACATAATTTAGTTTTTAATACTAATCCACCTTAGTCAAGTCAGTAAAGTGGTATCAGGTAGATGAATATTATTTTGGTGACATTGCTAGAGCTTAATGGGAGCATTTATGTAATATTAAGTTATTGTATTATAATGTTATATTTAATAAGTTTTATAATTTAAATTCATCTCTTTAAAGCTAAGATCGTTGAAAGCCATCCTTATTTATTTATTTATTTATTTATTTATTTATTACTTATTTACTTTGAATTCATGGTACTATGTTTAAAACTTTCTGCCTAAATTGGATTATGTTTTAACTGTACAGCACAGATTCTTTATTGCCATATTTATTATTATGGTAATCTTTAAATATATTTTTAATTTTAATTAAAAATTAACTTAAAGATTACCATACAAATAATACCAATAATTACCATATAAAGAGCTGATTAGTATATGTATGTGTATTACATTTTTTTAAGTCTTAGCAATGTCACAATTATATGAGTATGAGTAAAACTGGTGTCAGTAAATTTGGTCCAACTGCCGTTGAAGTATACTTGATAGCGAGTAACTAGTTTAAGAAGAAATTACGAAATAGCTTATAATATAACATAAGTTACCATTAACTATTAGCGTACTTACATAACACTATACTTAAATTCTTAAAAGTCCATTTCAGCTGATATTTTTTATATTAGATTTTCCTCTACATATATTTATTTATATGGAATAATATGCGTAATTTAATGTCTTTTTTAAAGTTAGTAAAAAGAAATTTTGACTTGAATGTATACTGGCTGGCTTTTACTTTTTTAATAAATTGCTTAAGATATTAGTCAGAAATATATCTATACCGTATTTGCTCGTAGTTATCAATGTATTTAGTAAGTGATGAACCATAAAACAGTACAAATTTTAGTAAATTAGTATCGTGTGTTAAAAATGTGAAACGAGATATATATGTTGATAATGCGCAATTAAGCGATAGTATACCGTATTTATTCCCGTATGGACTTATTTTTATTATTAATTATTAATAAATGGATTTAAAATATTACTGTAGTTTCTTTCATGTCCGGCTCGAAGGATCGAAATAATGTTGCACGAAATATAAATATAGCATAAAACTAGCGACTCACCTTCCCGCAGTAAAAAGTATCCTACTTATATGTTGACTCGGATAATCCGCTTTCATCATACCATATTTCATCAAAATCTGTCCAGTGATTTTCTCGTAATGCAGTCACAAACAGACAAACAAAAATTCTAAAAAATATAAATTGGGCCTCTGTATCGGTAATAATGACAATTTCCATAATAAAATTTCCCAAAAAATATTTAATGTCCAGATTCGACTCAGAATTTTATTATATGTAGGTATAGATACTCATAGATATTGCTAATACAACATATTGCATACAAAGTTTGTTGCACAGTAATCAATATAAAAATAAATGTAAGCTGATATAAAATCATTTGTTAAGGTTAAATGGCAGTGGTGTGGAACAATAAATTGAAATGGCTAGCAGGTTACAATGCGGATTCCGTAGAGTGGTGTCCGATTACTCCGTACAGACATGTGCTGGTGTGCGGGACTTATCAATTGGAGAAAAAAGATGGCGGTAATATATGATTTTGTACTTTGTAAATATTATATTTCATAATTTAGTGATATGTTTTTAGTTATTCATTAATCTTATTTGAGCGGTCTCTTGATTTTCATAATTTTTTTAAGAAAATAATTAGGCTGTATTCAGTACCAATAATATAAATACCACATTGCATTACGAATCATCGTTTATCATTACATAATCAGCGACAAAAAATGTCCTCACCGAATGAGCGCTCATTTGAACATTTGAGCGCGCTTATATTTTATTTTTTTGTAAAAACAACTCTAAGTATTGCATTTAAGGTTCAATTTACATTGTTGTATATTTATTTCAACTACAATAATTGACTAAACACAATTAGTGATATTTTTAAGAGAATTTTTGCATGGGATTGTGTATCTAATACTTTTTTCATCGATGTTTATCATCTAATTAATAACAAGAATAAGACTTTAAAATACGTGAAAATGATTGAATTATTATTGTTATTTATTATTTTACATTATTTCAGATATAAACGTGACTGATCGACCAAAACAAAAGCGGCTCGGCAGATTATATCTGTTTTCAATTACAAACGATACTACTTACTTATCCCCAATACAAGAGATAGATACAGCGGGCATTTTAGACCAAAAATGGTGCTACCATCCTATAAAAGATCATCCTGTATTAGCAACAGTAACGTCAGAAGGTTACATCCAACTTTACCAACTATTAGATAAAGAGGGTTCATTAAATTTAGAACTTTGGATAGAAGATTCTGTCGGTGGAGATATATTGGCTCTCTCGCTTGATTGGTCGAGTAACAAAATATTCTCACAAAATCCGTGCCTTGTTGTTAGTGACTCTTCAGGAGTTGTGACAGTTTTGCGAGTTATTGACAAAGGCTTAGAGAAGATCGGTCAATGGAAATCCCACAGTTTTGAAGCGTGGATAGGTGCTTTTAATTATTGGAATTCAGATGTATTTTATTCTGGTTAGTTTCATATTTTTAGTACCATTATTTTTTAAGTTATATTAATACTAGTGTTGTAGATAAATGTTGTAAGCAGCCCTTTTTAAAGTCAAATTGCTGGGCACGAACCTCACTTCAATATATAGGGGATCAGGTCATAGTTTAAACTACACTGGACAAGAGCGAAATGGCGGATTTCACAATACTTTTGTTGGCTAGGTTCTCTCAGACATGCAGGTTTCCTCACGATGTTTTCCTTCAAAGAAAGACAAGTGGTAATCATATTTTAAATGATTCGCACATGACAATATCAGAGGTGCGAGACCGGGATTTGAATCCGCTTAACTCGGTTTCCCAAGCGTGCGCATTACCACTTTGCTACCACTGCCTTAAATGTTGTTAAACTTAAATATTACACTTATAAAAATATGTATTTAATAACTATATTACAAAAAATATATTACCTACTAGTAAAAATAATGTTTTAGGTGGTGATGATTGTTTGTTTAAAGCTTATGATGTAAGAGTGCAAGACGCAGTACTCACTAATCGTAATCACGAAGCGGGAGTGACATCAATAAGGAACCATGTTGATGGAGAACATCAACTTCTGACTGGCAGGTCTGTAGTTTGTATGGTAAATAATTTCATAATAGGTATAGGTTTTAGGTTTATTTTTTATGGTTTTCCCACGGTTTTTTATTTACTTTACATAACATGCTTTGGTGTTAGATATGATATTTGCCTTCATTTTATTATAATTTTAGAGTTCCCAATATTTGACACTTGCTAGGCTCATGGATACATCATGGTACACATATAGCATACGGATGATGGCCTCTCGACCAATTTCGGCCACGGCAGCCAATCTTAATAACCAAGTGCGCAGGAGATATTATAGAGCTCAAGTAGAGTTTCACTCTCAAATTCAAGTGGGACGATTATTCGATACGATCGGTGGGAGATCAGGCGCAGGACCGACATCGCCAACTTCCCATCTCCGGGCTGTTACTGGGACTTTCTTGAAAGAACTGAAAGACTCAGTAATGAGGATTGTCCTGACCCGGGACGCGAACCCACGACCTCCGGATCGGCAGCCATACTTCTAGCCATTACACTAGTCAGCTTCCGTCATACCTATAGAAATTAAGTTTTTCTTAACCAAGATTCTGGGTAGAATTATTATTATAATCAAACTTACTTTACACATTTGGATATGCAGGCTTTGAAATGGGGTTTTCCAATATCTCAAGACTTAAGGATTTCTTTTATCTACTATTATATATTTTCAGTTACGACGAAAAAGTTCGTCTATGGGATTCGAGGAACCTAAAACGTTGCATTACAGAGACTGATGTGAACGGCGGTGTTTGGAGATTGAAGTGGCATCCATACAATAAAAGCGTAGTTTTAGCGGCATGTATGTACGGTGGGTTTCGTATATTACGCGTTGAAGACAAGGTTGAAGTTTTTTCGGAATATTTAGAGCATGAAAGTATTGCTTACGGCGCCGATTGGAAATTTGATGATAAATTGTCTATGGTTGCGACATGTTCCTTCTATGATTGCGTTATGCATGTAGGAGTAATAGATTTATAGTTTTTTTCTGTAACATTGATGCGGATGGGTAGGTTTTTTTTTTAATTTTCTAGTCAGACTACATATCTTTATGAAATTCCAATAAAACTGTGTAATGTTTGTTATCATGTCATGCTTAAATCGCTGAACAGATTTCAATAAAATTTGGATAGAATATAGATTACATCAAGGCGACGTTACTACACTTAATTCATTTATACTCATGCGAGTCGATGTCTAAACTCAAGTTTTAAATATTCTTTAAGAATACCTACTGCCTCTTAAAATAACCTGAATTGTCATCTTATTACTTAAAATCTGTAATTGTAATCCATTAGAACAAAAATATATATCTGAAATACTTTGTCGATTCGCTAAGTGTAACCTGAATTGTAAATGAATATATTAAATAATTTGATGAAACAATTTATAATTTATGTTTTAAACTAAAACACATTTATATAATACATAGGATGAACAAAAAATATGCTGAAATAAAAGTGGGTAATCTCATTTTAAACATGTTGTATTTCAATTTGCTTATAATGTCATGATAAATATAATTTATAACAATTACATACTTAATAAAGTAATTATTCATTTGCCATAAGTGATAAAAAATCTTACACCATTTACAATATGAAGGCTTTGGGATGTCGTCGCTTGTTGAATGTCCGAATAAAGTTTTTTAAAAACACTAAACTGGCCTGATTTCCCCTACTATAAATTTGTACCTTAATATTCTCTAAATACAGTCTATTTTCTATTCATTGGATTTAAGATACATTATTTTTAATTTGCTCATAATTCCAAGCACGAGTGTAGATCTAGACTATACATATAAATTCACTTTACTTGGCCAATGCTATATTTCTTCTATACTCATTAAACTGTTGCAGCTTAATTTATCCATGCCGGCAGTAATTTCTTTTAATTTAAAGTAATTTGCTAACATTAATTTTCATCAATTCTTAATTTGCAAAATTCTAAAATACATACTAAAGTGCATGGCCTAATATAAAGGCTTTCATAAGCATTTTCTTTGATTGTAAAAAGCAATAGTTTTATTTAATAAAATAAAAAAAAAGACAAAAATAAAATCAATATAAAATTGACATTTATCAATCGTTTATGGAAAAAATTTAAAAATATAAATGTACATTGATGTTATCTTTATTTTAAATAGAATGACATATTTTGTGTATTTTTTATTTTAAAGACCATAAACAATTTAATATTTTTAATCACATGTCATTAGACTAGTCCTCAATATAAAATGGCAACACAGCTGAAAGATTTACACAAATACTCAATGCTTTCTCTGTAATATTTTATTTTTATCACTGCATTGTTACATATGTTGTCGGAAAGTTTACATGAAATATATTAAAAATACTTACTTCAAATAAATGAACCGCCACTTTTACATGCAATTGTATTATATATCGTCATCTTCTGTGAAACTAACCATTCATAATATATATGAGCAATTAATTCATTTTTTTTAATATTGCCAGTTAAAAATGTAAAAGTGGCATGAGCATTGTTTGAAATAGCAAATAAAGTGGCAATTCGAATATCACTTGTCTTTTGAGTAAAAAAAAAGGCAATCTTGCCCTATTAAACTAAAAAGAAGTCAATTTTCAAACATTGAACAAGAGACAAAATACACTGATAAATTTTATTATGGTCCAAAAAAATGCAAATATACATTATAATATAACATGATATAAAGATTTCAAGGGCTTAAATAAAGATGTAATTTCTATCATGCGTAAAGCAAATAAAATAGTACATTCACTGTAGACTTCAACACTTTAAACATCAATCACCACAATTTGCGCGTTCCAGATTAACGACTCTAAGACATAGCCCATATATTATCGCCTGCGACATTTATTTATTGTTGCAACAAATTATGCAATTTTTATGATTTTTTTCATTTATTTTTATACATTGGTATGAAATACTGGGTCTCTATTGATTATACCACCTTAACTTTACATTAAACGCTGGTGTTCTGATGCTTTAGAATGGACTAAAACTATATATACAGCCATTACAACGACAACTATAATAATTATTATGTAATATGTAAAATACTCTGTACATATATGTTAAGTAAGATTCATTTATATCAAACGTTGGTATGAATAAATTAGTTCTAAAATTTTAACGAGAATTTATCTACATTTACTATATTACATCTAATAAGACCATCTAGATATAGGCGAAATATTGCGGTTTGGAAAGCTGGGGCAAACAAACGTCTCGTAACTGTTTGACTACTTCTAGGTCCTGTAAAATATTTAGGGCATCTAATTGAATTAGTGTTTGATAAATTTAAAACTTTTTTATTACAATCTTTAGGACTTGCAGTCCGTCCCCAGGATCCATCCCTTAAATAATAATATGGGAGCTTGGAAGATTTGTTCTTTTTTTATTTCAATAAGCCTTATAGTATATACCATTAAAGTGTTATTAAAGAGCGTAAAAACAATAAATGTATGTCCAATTACTCAGAACGATAAAACTTTATTCTAATTACACAATATCATTTTAAATAAAACTACCTTTTCGGATTTTTTCGCGGATTTATTTTGTTTTTTGGTTCCCGTTCTGGTAAAAATCAAAATAAATCCGCGAAAAAATCCGAATAGATAGTTTTATTTAAAATGTCAAATATTCGCGTAAATCTAAGAAAGTATTACACAATAGCAAAAATGGTGATATTTAAAATTTTTAAAGATCAAATTAAATTTTTTCATTTACTCTAATGGGATATACTACCATAGTATTATGGCATTTTGGCATCAGAACACCCTAAGAGCGTGACATCGTTAAACCGACATCACACCATGTAATACCATTAATAGGTACAATTTATTGTAAATACGTTATATTCTACTCTCATGGTCGTTAAAAATTGTTTGGAAAACAACTTTTACTTAAGTTTCAACAGTGTAATTAGAGTCAAAGAAAGTGCCCAATACATACACAGACCTTATCTCCGTTACATTCCATTCAATTTTAAAGTGCTTTTGTAATCAATAAAGCAATGATTACAGTAAAGCCGCGTTGACACGATCAAAGTCTACTTTGACGCAACTTTGATCATATAAACGAGCAATCAAAGCGCACTTTGATGTGGAATGAAAGTGAACTTTATCAAAGAGAACTTCTTTTCAAAGCTTTTTATCAAATCCGACATTGAGCGCTCGAAGCCACTTTGTCAAAGCAGAGTTTGAGCGTGTCAACGCGGCTTAACGCAAGTTAATATGAAGATATGTATATCAAAAGCTGTCTTTGTATAGATTGGATACTTTGCTTGAAATTAATTCTTATTGTGGGCATCAAGAGATTCCGTCATCAGATACGTATCGACACTGTTACTCGCGACATAAGTACACTGATATATAAACAACAGTCAAATGTGAGTATTAATCTTGTAATTACAACCCACATTCAAAGAGCATAGAATATCATAATTAAGTCAACTTAATGCATTACAACCTTAAACATGATCAGGTAACAGAATCAGCTCACCTCAGGCACATCACTATTCACAGGTCACCGCACTAAATGTCATTTTTGACTTAAAGTATAAATGTGCTAACTCCTTTTCCTTAATTAATTTATAGTTTTATCACAAAATCAAATTCAGAACATTATTTTCTTCCCCTAAAACACCTTTGTTGGTGAAATGCTCACATACCGCACATGCTCACAAAAAGCACTAATCCTTAAGATATTTTTGACATAACTTTGGATATCCCAGCGGCCATAATTCGTTAAGAATTATTATTCGGTACTCATTGTCATACAAATAATTAAAAAAAAATGAAGCTAGCACTTATACTGAGCCAATAACACAATCAGGTAACAAATTACACAAGTTCTTGGTTAACACTTCCCTAACATTGCTTGTTGTCTCGACACAAGTTCAAATTCATATAAACTTAGGTAACACTTTCACTATAACAGTATTATCGCTAGGCGTGTCTTGGGCATAGGGCTCTGAAGTCGTCTCCAAGTGACCAAGTTGAGGCGCAGGGGAAATGTGTGGTGGCCTTGCAGGCCCGGGCCGCACAGGATAGGGCTGCGCCGGGCTTCCCACACGTGGCGCACCGGGCTTCTCGGGCTCCGCACACGGCGGGGGCGAGGCCCCACAGCCGGGAGCCCGCGGCTAGCAGCCCTGGGGCCCACACACCACAGGCCTCATGGAACCAAACCTCAGCACCACCTGATGATGAAGCGAAACGCCGCTTTGATGCCTCGTCTAGAGCTCTGGAATGTTAAACATATGGTTCAGGCAATTTGTAAATACAAATAAAACCATGAAATCCATTTCATTCATAGTCATGAATATTGTTTAACCTAAAATATAGATAACTACATACATATACAAATTTATTTCAAACAATCTTGAAAAGACATTGTTTAAGTATAAATATTAAATTGATAAAAACATTAAATTCATAACAACCCAAATTCAATATTTACAAGTGAGACAGACTTTATCCTGCTATAGATCTAAATTGGTAACAACACAAAAAAAATCTCAACAAGAGTGTCTCCGACTTGAACATAACAAAATTTTCATAATCATCAAAATCAGTCAAGCCGTTCAGGACAAGAATAATGAGCACAATCAACACTCACCTGTACTCTTCACAATTAACATCAATGGCGTACGGTCCGAACAGGTCTCCCAAGCCGGCGTGGTGGGGGCCCCTCTCGCAGAAAGCGCACAGCCAGGAGGCGTCGGGCGTGGAGGCGTCGTACCGGAGCCCTAGAGTGCTGGCGTGGAGCCCCCGTGCGCGCAGCCCGTTGCGCCACTCGTCTGCGGTCCGCTTTTCCTCCTCAGTTGCTCCCGCTGAAGCGTTCACCACTGACACTGATACAGGAGAGTCCCGGGGACCGACGATCTAAAAGAAAAAAAAATTGTTGATACATTCTTAGATTTATGCGAATATTTAGACATTTTATTAATAATACTATCTTTCCGGATTTTTTCAGATTAATTTTAATATTCAATTATAAAAGTTATAGAAATTATAAAAAATGTTTAAAAATAATAAAATTGACAAATATTGTAGGGTACTTTGGTGCAATTTTTGATAAATTAATTGTTAACTGTAACACCGGTGTGCCTGCGGTCGTTGAGGGATTAAGACGTCTAAATCCTCAGTCCCTCCCCTGAAAATGATGGCTGTAAAGCATTCGAAATGTCGGCAGCCAAAAACCAAAACAAATCCGCGAAAAAATCCGAAAATATATAGAATAGTTTTATTTAAGACATCAAAATAATATACAAAACTATAATAATATATATTTTCGATTGTAATTCTAAATGTCTAAATTGTCAAAACTTTTTCCATTATACCTGTATATAGGGTCCTCTCGATCGACTGGAACTTGCGTTACTTCCCGAGTCATACGCATCTTTGACCGGTGCTTCTTTCTTCTTCTTCTCAATACCCTTCTTTCTCGGAGTTTTTCGTCGAGGCGCGTCATCTCCCGTCGAGGCACGACTCGCTCGCTTCGACGCTTTTTTTTCTCCTTTCGTCGGAGCTGATTTTCGTCGTTTCCTGGCTTTAGCTGTTTGTTTTTTCTCCGTTTCCTTATCCGGTTCCGTGCCGGTGGGCTCTTCTATGCCGGCGAACATTTTTTCCAGTTGATTCTCGACTTCGACGAAGCTGGCTGCTGTTGGTTCTGCACTTCTCGCTTCACTCGCCTCTGGTTCTGCAGGTTTCGCTTCTGAGGGTGATTCTACAGGTACATTGGTCGATTCTGAATTGGATGTTCTAGCACTTCGTCGCCTAGGCGCAGCTGCGGCAGCTGGCGGTGCTTCTGGTTCCTCATTCTTCGGTGGTGATTTCTGTGGTTTCTGTTCTGGTATTGGAGATTTTGGTTTCGGTGATATGGGGCGTTCCGGTGATTTTGTTTCTGGTTCGGGACTTGCGAGTACACTTTTTAGTTTATCGACAGTCACTGGTGTTTCTGGTTCTGGTTCTGGCGGGGGTGTGGGTTCGGGGGCTGCGTCTGTGCGGTTAGAGTCTGTGCTGGCAATCATTGCGGCGATATCGTCTATGGTTTCTGCTGACCCGGAGCGGGTTTTTCTTCGCGCGTGGGGTTCCGGTGGTTGCGGGGTGGGTGGTTTCTCTGGTCCGTTCTGTATGTGAGTTGCGTCGCCATTTTCAAGAGGTGGTTGTGTAAGAGGTGAAGCGCGGGGGGTGGGGGGTCGCGGGGCCTCGGCAGGGGGCGGAGGGGGGACCGGCACGCGGATAGTGCGCTCAGGTTTCCGTTTCCGCTTAGAGCCTGGCGGTGCTCCACAGGAATCTGCTGAATCCTGAAACACATTTAGAAATATTTTTACACTACATGCTACAATTATATCGTGCAAAATTAAATAAATAAGCTTAACCAATGCAGCTTTTTGGAGTTTTTCAATCGATTCCATATAGAATGAAATTAGCGCAATTTGAAAAGAAAGCCACACAATTTATCACTATATTTATATTCATACCTCATTTGAAGAAGGGGGTGAAGGGGTGGGTGCGGCCCTCGAATGTACTATGACCGAGTGGGGAGACGCAGGTGCTGGTGCCGCCGACAGTCTCTCTAGCAAGGCGTCCACCCGCGCGTGTGGAGGGCGCGCGTGCGGCGCCGCGCGGGCGATCAAACTGTTTATAGTTGGCGCGTCTCTCACTGAGAGGGCGGGGGCCCCTAGGGCGGGAGCCCCCGGCGTGGGGTGCATGGGGGCCGGTGAACCATTCGTACCCCGCGGTCCCCCCACTGTTAGGTCCACACCCCCCCTAGCATATGCCAATAACTCGTCTGCTCTCATCAGTTTATCTGGAAAGAAATGCAATTTTTTAATGAGTAGATTATTAATTGACGATGCTTTTAATGCAGTTTTTAGTATAAGGACTATTGCATACTTAAAGAAAATGTTAGAAAAGGGTTTGTATTCGGGAGTTCTTTAATTACACATATTTAAATAACGTATAAATAAATTAGAATCTAACATGTTCAAATTCAATACAAATCCATAAATTCAAAAAGGCGTCTAAAAGCCGAATTTTATTATTTACTAATACATTTTAGGATTGGCACTTGGCAGTATAACATACCAATTACCAAGTTATACAGAGGTTCTTTATTTATTTGTTTCTCTTTTGTTCGAAACGTCATCGTAACAACACGTGTGTGAAAATTTATAAACGGTTATTAAAGATATATTTAAGCATAAAACTCTAAAAAGATAAACATCTTTGTTTCCAAGGACAGTGGTAGCTCAAATGGTAACACGCTGGTTTGGGGAACCGGGGAAGTGAAGCGCGTTCAAATCCCGGGTCTCACATCTCTGATATTCTCATGTCCGAACCATTTTTAACATGATTTCCATTTGCGTTACGGTGAAAGAAAACATCGTGAGGAAACCTATATGTCCCAGACAGCCCAGTAAGTTTTCGAACGAAATGTAAATTCCACAAATGAACCAACCTGCACTAGGCCAGCGTGGTAAGCTATTACCTGATCTCCCTCACATTGAAGTGAGGCCCACGCCCAGCAGTGGGACTTAAAAGGGACTGAATACAATACATTCATAATATTTCCAAGTCAGTTACACCGTGCTTTTAGCTTACCTCTCCCCGGTGCTAAATGCGGATAGAGTTCAGCCGGTGGCAGCGCAGCGCCAGCTTTCACGTCCCCGGGAGACGGCGTATGCCTAGAAACATAATTTTTTTTTTCACAATACCGCATAACACTCAAAATACAGCTGAATTAAGAACATAGTCTTTTAATATAGTCGTATAAATTATAATACAAATAATCTATACACATAATAAAATTCTAACTAAGCCGAATCTGTACAGTAAATATTTTTTTGAAAATCTTATCAAAATAGACATTATTATCGATACAGAGGCCGAATCTATAGTTTTTAGAATTTTTGTCTGTCTGTCTGTTACCGCATCACGGAAAAACCACTGGAGGGATTTTGAGGAAATTTGGTATGGTGATAGCTGGTTATCCGGGTCAACATATAGGATACTTTTTACCGCGGGAAAATATCTCATTTTTGAGAAAAAATACAAAAACTTCATTGATAGACTATAACTAATATGTAAAGCCTAAGAATTTGGTTTTTGGTTATCTGAACGCGGGCGGAGCCGCGGGCAATGCTAGTAGAATCATATAAGTATATCACTATTACTAGCGTATGGCCTCGGTTTTTTATATCACCGAGACTAACCACTTGCGCAGATGTTAGAGTACCTACAAGAACAGGTACGACAATTGGATACAACCGATTACATAGGATAATAATTATAATTAAGGCTTTACGTGCTGTTCTAGATATAGCTGTAATCGAACACTTGCCAACTCTATTTAGAGTTTGCTGCTAGAGAGAATTTCGATATTAGAAAATGTACTTGGTCTGAAACCGTACTCGAACCCAAGACCTCCAGATCTGGAGCAGAACGTGTGCTAACACGTTCTGCGCTGCATGAAAGATGCACTAATATAACTATACTAAGATTTATCAAAAATTTTAAATGTAATGTACATTGCACACCAATGTTATAATTTATAAAGAATTAAAAGTTTTGGTAAGTTCGGGTAACATGGATGAATTAATACTCTCTTAGATATACGTGAATATTTAAAACAATTAAAGAAAAAACTTTACATTTTACACTTTTATTAAGTATTTTATTTTTCATAGGATAGATACGTAGTTATAAGTTTCGGAACAGCTAGCTAGTTTACGCATGTTAAGTTAGCCTATAAGTGTGGTGTATAGTGTAAAAAAATATTTTGTAAGAAATTATTATGTATAAAAGATCAAAAGCACAGTATACTATGTTGGCTTCCTATATAATAAATAAATAAATATTTGACATTTTAAATAAAACCGTCTTTTCGGATTATTTCGCAGACATTTATTTAGATTTTTGGTTCCCGACGTTTCGAATGCTTTACAGCAATCATGGTGACGGGAGAGACTAAGGTTTTAGATGTCGCAAAATAATCTGAAAAGATAGTTTTATTTAAAATGGATAAAGTAGTTCTCCAGTAAGAAAAAAATACTTTGAACTTTAGCGAGATTCTTTTGAATAAGTTACTTTAAGCTAATAAACTTTTTCCCAATAAACAGTCTACAAAATGCAAAAACATGTTTTCTAATCGGACCCATACTGATATACCTACTGTTGTTAGCGTGTTAATAAATATATTAGCATAAAATTATATGCCATTTTAACTCACGATATAACTATTTAAAGCGTAGCATTTGTACATAAATGAACTACGCGAGCAGAGACGCGGGCAAAAGGAAGTCTATACATATTAGCTTTTTGCAGTCCTTCTTCATATAAAATGATAGTTAATAGATTCAGAACCCGATTTATACTAATAAAGTTCGTAAACTTAGCTCTTAAGGTTGTTGGAGTCTCTTAGTGTAATAGACATATTTTATCATATCTTCAACTAGCGACTCACCCTTGCTTCGCTCGGGTTAGTCCCTAGGTACGTTTTAGCGGTTAGTATAAAATAAAAATCTTTGAATTTCTCGGTTATTCTGTACTATAATTTGCATGTATAAACCTTTCTTTTGAATCACTCTATCTATTAAAAAAAACCGCATCAAAATCCGTTGCGTAGCTTTAAAGATAGACAGACAGACAGCGGGAAGCGACTTTGTTTTATACTATGTATGATTATACTTACATATGTAGGTATATTCAATGTTTTTTTAAAGAAACATGAATGCTATTTAAAAATGTAAAATAATTTGATGTAGGTTGAAAGACCTTGAAGCTAATAATATAAATTGTGTACTCATTAATACGTATGGTATGTTTGCTGTGTAAATGTTCATATGACTTTTGGAAATCGCCAAGTGAAACTTATTTTGTATAGTAACAGAATATGTTAATGATTACATTAAAAATTTAAAGGTATGTAAGTTTTATCGTTGAATTATTTTACTAATAAAAACATCAATTTTATATTTATACATAAAATCGGGCAAGAGCAAGCCTGGCTCGCACACGGAGGGTTCCGTAGCCTGAAACATTAAATTTACGACGTCACGTTGTACCATTCACATTTTTTATGTTAACAGTAAAAAAAATATTTACCCATCACCAACATTCATTTATAATAATGCAATAATAAATTAATCTATACATATAATAAAATTGTGACTAAGTCGAATCTGTACATTAAATATTTTTTGGAAAATCATCACTCAGAACTTTTTATCACTGATCAACGTCACCTGTATCGAGAGCTATCACTATATCTCATTTTTATTAATTTGACTACAGAATTTCTAGAGGTCCTATAAGACGCGTATCTACCAAATTTTAGCATTATACATGGGCGCCGGGAGAGGCAGAGGAGTGCATTTGATCGAAATTTGATTGATATCGAAAATATCAAAGAAATAAAATTATATGTGTTAAATCCCTGTTTAAATTTAGATATCTTTAAATAAAAAAAAGGTTAATAAAATATGAATAAAAAGTATAATTTAAAGATTAGTTAGTAGTGTAATGATAGAAGAAGCAGATGCACCACCCTGGAAATAATTCTGCCGCCACCCATGGCAATATATTATCTTAATTGGCAACGAAACCCCAAAAAAGAAGTTATAGATAACATACCAATTACCAACCATACAATACCCTCTGTATGTAAAAAAATAATGCTATTCTAATAGCACAATAGGAGGTAATAAATTCTACGTCAAGGTTCCATCTGCTAAGGAAATTTTTAAACAAATTACCATAAGTTATTTGGCGGTAAGTCTTTGTTTTCGCAGAATATAAAATGTACTAAATACATCTAGACATATAATAAAATTGTAACTAAGTCGAATCTGTACATTAAATATTTTTTGGAAAATCTAATTGAAATAGACATTGTTATCGATACAGAGGCCGAATCCATAGTTTTTAAAATTGTCTGTCTGTCTGTTACCGCATCACAGAAAAACCACTGGAGGGATTTTAATGAAATTTGGTATGATGATAGCTGGTTATCCGGGTCAACATATACGATACTTTTTACCGCGGAAAAATATCTCATTTCTGAGAAAAAATACAAAAACTGCATTGTAAGAGACTACACTAATATGTAAAACCTAAGAATATGGTTTTTGGTCATCTGACCGCGGGCGGAGCCGCGGGCAATACTAGTGTAGAACATAAACTGTACAATCATCGATCAAAAATGTATGTCACCAATTGTGTATAGGTAATTATTCTAGTTGAAATAAATATACAGCAATGTAAATTGAACCTTATATGCAATAATTAAAGTTGTTTTCACAAAAAAAAAACTAAAAGCGCGCTCAAATGTTCAAATGAGCGCCCATTAGGTGAGGACAATTTTTGTCTGTGATTGTGTATTTAGTGTACAATATTAAAACATATTTATAACATTTTAAGGAATAATCCTTAGGTTATATACAACCTTCTGTGAGTTATATACAAGAAGTAGAATTCAAAACACAAAATATCGGTAACGAACTGGTTAAGTAAAAATAAACAGATAGACATTATTGATAGTGCAGTTCAAATAAGAATGATGAAATCATTTTAGATGCCTCATGTTTATAACAACTAATAGTTATCTCTTTAACTAATAGATGCTTTATTTTAATTGTTCCTCGCGTTTATTCAGATGAATATATGTCAGTTTTAACGCTTCATATTTATTTGGAATTTCAAATAGTAACTGGAATAAAGCAGATTGTAAATAAAAAATTACAAGATATACGAAGTAAAGATAGAGTATGGTTGTCCTTCAGAGACTGCTTGTTTTTAATAAGATCGACTTTGCATGTGTTTGTTTAATAATTATGACGACACGTTTGGCTCAGTTTGTAGTGTCAGTGTACTTCCTGTGTCAGCGGTCGCGGGTTCGAGTCCCGCTGGGGGCATTCATTTTTGTAATGACCACGAATGTTTGTACTCCAGTCATGTGTGTTTATATTTATAATATGTTTGTATTTAGAGTTATGTATGTGTAGTGTATCAACTTTCTGGTATCCATGGCACAAGTCTCGTAGCTTACCATGGAACTAGATGGTGCTGTATGTAAATGTCCCAACATATATAAAATTTGTATGTTTTGACCATACTTTTTACCTAAATTTGTAAATGTCATTTGTTTTCAAAATTTCATTTCAAAGACCATCTTGCACAGAGGCAACATGGACTGTTGGAACTCTGTGGCAGAAATCGCAGATTTGGCACTGTTTCGAAATTAATAATTCGTAAAGCTATTCTATTTTCCACGTGACAAGATAGGAACGGAATGGACGTGATATTTCATAGTCTCGTAAGAGTTTACATATTATTATATTGCTTAAGTACATCTAGGCATTGGCGAAATCGGGGCAGGGCTTACGGCTTAGAGTAAATTAGAATATATAATCATTAGATAACAGTAATTGGTAACTATAAATATTAAACATAAGGTATTAAATAGGTAATTCTCAAAAGAGGTTTTAGCGTATTTCCTTTTTCTTATGTCTTTAAAATTGACATACATATTTGTTTCTGAGCCTTTTTATTCGGTCCAAAACATTTTCAGATAATCACATACATATTTTGAAGAAGATACGTTGATTTTTTTTAAATATGGAATATTTTTGGTACACGGTTAAACGGCTGCAAAAATTATTTGTTTCTCCTAGATATACCACAAAATAAGTCGCAAATAAATCCTATTTGGTTTAGTTATCTAGGTATCTTGTAAGTGCAGAAACCATTAAATATTATAAAATCAACAAGCTAATAAAAATGATGGCGCAGTGCTTATGTCATATACATATGTCCATAAATATAGAAAAACGAAAAACAAAAGAAATAAATGGGAAAATATTTGTCATAAAAATTTATGCAATCGGGAAAATCCTCTCCAATTTCCTTATTTTATTTTATTGTACTCACAATTACAGTGTCAGAATGTATGTATGTACATACTTTTAATATGTATGTATTACTTTTATTATAGAACCTATTTTTTGAAAATCATATGTTTTACCTAACTGATCTTTATCGACCGAATAGATAACTAAACTAAATATTATACTTACAAATATTCGTTAGAGAGTGAGTGTGGTTTTTACTTCTTCACATAGTAACGTATCAAATTTGGAGATAGCTTATAAGCTGGAATGACACATGTTTGGTTGACAGTAGGAAATTCAAGCCCGCAAATGCGGGATCCCGCAGCATTTTTGCGGGATCGGTGATGCGGGTTAACACATGCGGGTTCCGGAGTGTTTCCGGGATTGAAATAAAAATGGGATTTGAAAAAAAATTTGCGCAGACGTCTTTCTAAATATTAATTCGTCCCGGTCCCGGCCCTATCAATAGGTAATTAAACAAATAATGATACTCACGAATTTTAATAAATATGTATATTTAACTGATTATGAATAAAAAAGTATGCTTTTTAAATATACATAAATTATTGTCTTTTATACATACATCACTTCAAAAATTTATAAACTTTTTCCCTAGTTGACAGTATGCACACTATATCGAAGATACGAGTGAAACCACTGGTAATTTTCAAATTACAGATACACTATGATCAGCAGTATAATAAGTCGTTAGTATATGTATAACTAGCTATTCGCTCGGGTTCGTCCCTAGGTACGTTTTAACGGATTATATATTATAGTACATAAGTATATGTATATAGACAGGTTTTATTGACTTTCATAATTCTTACTTAAGAAATTATTGATTCCCCATGCAAACTTTCAACCCCTTACGGGATAATTTCCGGGAGAAAACTATCCTATATCTCTCCCAGGATGTCAAACTATCTTTATAGCAAATTTCGTCTAAATCTGTTTAGTAGTTCCATAGTTCGTGAGATTACTTCCCTACAAACAAACTCACAAACTTTACCTCTTTATAATATTAGTATTAGATTACAAGGCCTACCTTAGCAAGTGTTTGTCAGGCGGTGTAGGCGTATGTCGGTAGAGCTCCGGCGGCGTCGCCGTATGCCGAAACACGGAGTTGGCGCCACTCTTCATCGCCTGCAACAACAGACCCTACCGTAGTCCGATACACAGGTGTGTTTAGTTCGTTATATGGATGATGTTAGTATAAAAGCTTGTATGAGTTGAATGAGAATTGAATTGAAATTGTTTCTATCTCTATCTTTCTGTAGAGATCTATCCGTAGAATATATTTACTATTAATAGGTATAGAGAATGTACTCGTAAAAGTATTGAGCCAAAATATATATATTTCCATAGAAAAAATAATTACTGTAATTAAAAAAAAATATCATTTTATTCTTGTGAATCTTGTATCATATATCTTAAGATAGGATTCTTATCATCGGTGGGAAATGAATTAATATACTTATACTCACTTTACACTTAAAACTACGTCTAAAAAGCTGACCATTATTATACATAATACTTTCAAACTTGGCAAACTTTTATTTGAGAATTCTTCATGCGTTTCATTGAAAGTTTTTATTATTTATTTTGGCCTTTATTGATTAAACTGGCAAAAATCTCGTCAGTAACTAAAGTCAAGAAAGAGTTCTGCATTTAAGTTAAAAAATAATTGGTAATTTTATATCATTTAGACTTCTAAGTAAGTACATACTAACAATAAGTATAAATTACTTAAGCAAAATGATTTTTTGTATATCACAATGCTTAAATAATATATTCTCTATAGAATTTATTAATTTATAATTATATGTTAATGTAAGACAATCGATACCTAACCGTCATCACCAAGTCATCGGGAGTTCACATGCTTTCAAAAAAACAATATGTAAATAAAAGTTATAATGGATCAACTCAATTCTCATTTTACACGTATTCACATAAGAATGGAAAAAGCAGATGAACCATAACATTGAAGCTGCAATAAAAGTAGCAAATATGTCTTATTCTATTTTATTTTTAATGGCTTTTAAACTTGCCTGTTGAGAAATAAATTTAAACTTAATTTCTTTATTAACATAGTGTTTTAGTATGGCAGGACTACGCGAAATACCTCTACCAGACTCTACACTATAATTGGATGTTTTACTCATTATAGTAAATATTTTCTGCTTCAAATGAGTGTTTTTTTCCTTTAATTTAAGTAATAGTAATAATTCACATACATTAATATTACTTAAATGTTAAGTCGTCACATCATTACAAAAAAAATATCAATCAACATCATTAAAATACCCAATAGTGTTGTAATTATGGTAAATCTTAAAAAAATACGTGAATGAACTTTTGACAGCTACTTATTATACAATATGGCCGAGTACGAAAGCCACTAATCAGTTAATTATAGATTACATGATTCAGCAGGATTTAGCCCGTATATTATATTATGTGCCAAAGAAATATTGTGTATGTTCAACGCCAGTGCGAGTGAACCAATCGATATTGTACGGGACTTATTGCCAGTAAATTACTAAATACTGGGTTTAGACAAGAAAAGAAAAAAAAAGGAATGTCATGTTAGTATTCTATGACATAACGATTTAAATTGTTATTACAACACAATTTTTAATATTTCTATTCTTCAACGATTACCCAATGACATCTTGTCTAAACTCTCCTATTTGATTATACTTTTTTAAACCACAATTTTTTAACTTATTAATATAAAACACCAACTAGCACCATGATATTTTATTTATCAAAGCAGACAATCATAAAAAATATTGAATGCAGATACTAATATAATTAATGCAGATTAAATAATTAATAAATTTAAAAAAAATGCTAATATGTACAATATCCTTACTTGCAAGGGGTCGGGGGGTGAGGGCGCGGGTACATGGTAGAGGTGGGGCGGGGGCGTGGGGGTGTGCCACGTCACGCCGCGCTCTGACGCCATGTGCGCTTGCGGCGCTCGGGCCAGCAGGTTCGCCACCTGTAACTGAAAATTAACTTATTAATAAACTAGCTATGACTAAAAGGCTTCAGTTTAACTGTGTATGTTGAAAAAAATATTGTTTCTTTGTCATCTACACAAATATTATAAAGAGGAAAGATTTGTATGTTTGTATGTTTGTAACGAATAAACTCAAATAATACTGGACCGAATTAGATGAAATTTGTTAAGAAGATAGTTTGAGACCCTGGGAAGGATATATTATATTTTTTATTCCGGAAATCATCCCTTAAGGTGGTGAAAATGGGGATGCAATTTTGTATGGGGAATCAACCCGAGCGAAGCGAAGGTGAGTCGCTAGTATGAAAGAAAGGCAAACAAGTACGGTTTTGTATTTTTAATCTACTGGTAATACTAGCTGGTCCTGCGTGATGTTATTTCCCTTTTCTTTGTCCTTATTCCCCATACATCGCGTCGAGCCACAGCCACCAGCACTATTACTTCGCTCTTTCTTAGCTAGCTTAGACTTAGAAGCATTTAGGGTCGCAGCGTATTGTTAGCTATAAAATGCAATCAATATTCTATAAAATACTGTAGGTATGTTTTCTTAATTCAAATAGGTCACGAGATAAGATCGATAAAACTACTAAAAAATAACAGTTTTATAATATTAACTATTAAGTATAAGCAGTGGTAGCACAATGGTAGCGCGCTCACTTGGGAAATCGAGCGAAGTGGGTTTAAATCCCGGGTCTCGCACCTCTGATATTTTCATGTGCGAATCATTTCAAACACCATCACAACTTGTCTTACGGTGAATGAAAACATCGCGACGAAACCTACATGTCTAAGAGAACCTAGCAAGTTTTCCAAAGACATGTGCAGTCCGCCAAACCGCACTTGGCCAGCGTGATGGACTATAACATGTTCCCTCTCATATTGAAGAGAGGCCCGTGCTTAGAGAGAGAGCTCGTGGGACGTTAAAAAGGTCCGAACACAATATCGTAACGAACGCTTTAATCGTGCATCAATAGGCATTTGAGCTGAATTGAAAACTCGTGGCATTTGAGCTGAATTGAAAAAATTGGTTATTTCATTCATCCCGTACACCACTCGCGCCTGTTTGGACCCAACAGGAGCTTGTGGTACCGGAGCAATCCGGCGCGGACCAACAGCCAGGAGGGGAGGTTGAGGGAGCGGCGTTAGAGGGCGCCGTCTCCTTCTTGGAGGTAGCGCGGTGTCTCCGGCCGTTTTGCGGTAGGAGGTGCTGCGCGGGCCACACTGCCGGGGCTAGCCCGTCGGTGCGGCGGCTGGAGCGGGGCCATTTCGGTGGTCCTGCGTATGGCGAGGGATGTCGGCAGCCATTTTGGTCCGGAGGTGGGCCGACGGTAGGGGGGCTGCGGGGGAAGAGGAGTGTCGGTATGGCGATGCGCCGCTCGTCCCTATCTCCCGCGGCCTAGCGGGGCCACCACCGTTGATGGTGGACGCGGTGGGGCTGCAGGGGAAGGGGAGTGTCGGCGTTGTCGCATCCTCTTCTCCTGCAGCCGTTTGTGTGTGGGCTCATTCGCGAGTGTCTTTGGGGGGTTTGCCCAATTTGGGTGGGGTTTGTTATTTTTTGCAGGTTGCCCACTTCGGTGGGCGGTGTTTGTGTGGTGTGGGGCTGCTCCGGGTACTTCTCTGATCAGCAGAGTGGACTTAGGAGCGGCCTCACTTTTTTGGGTTGAGAGTCTTCCCATAATGGGGTTGTCCCGCTTGGGGCGGCCTCATGGTTGGTGGCTTCGGCCAACCGTCGGGTCGTCGCGGTTGTATGCGAGAGCGATCCCGTGGCGTCCCACATGGCGGCAGGGGGGGAAGTTGGGTTTTAGTGGGTATGCCGGTCTCATTAGCCGGAGAGTCTCCACATAACCACCCCGGGGGAAGTCGGGTGGTATCCGTAATAGGATTTCCCAACTATAAAAAAAAAAAGAAAAAAAAAAGAAAAAGGTGAACCAATTAGACCGGAATAAAAAATATCATTCATAACGCTTGCTCTAGACGTTGAGGCGTCTAGATAACAATAAACAAACTTATTCGCATTTATAATAAATAGCAAGGATTAGTAAACATTATCACATTTATGATAAAAGTTTCCGCTAAAACCTAAGTGACGTATAATACTTTCTTAGATTTACGCGAATATTTGACATTTTAAATAATCCGAAAATATAGTTTTATTTAAAACTAGTGGCTCACCCTCGCTTCGCTCGGATTCGTCACTAGGTCGTTTTAAATAGATATATAAATAGTTATTAGCCAGCGTTAGCCATATAAATTTAATTTATTTTTCATCAAAAAATTTCTGATGTTTTAATACTTATTATCATATTCCGGACTAAAATAAATCCAAGAAATCAAATAACATTAAAATTGGCACAGCCGTTCTCGAGTTTTGCGTTTAGCAACATTCAGGGAATTAGTAGAAGCGATCGAGGTACAGTCATAATTGTAGTTTTAGGCATTAACTTGGAAGCAATATCATTTTTAGGGTTCCGTAGCTTAAAGGCAAAAACGGAACCCTCATAAGGTGAAAATCATAGCTCGCACTTACACTTTACGGCATATGTATATCTAATTTTAGCAATGTTTCATATTGTGGTCAAACCCTTACTTTACTTTAGAAAAACGTATCTTAGTAAAGGCAGAGCAGCCATTATTGGTTACTGTGGAATCAAATTAGGCTTTGAATCGACTTTCCGAATAAGTTACATACTAGCATACATTAATTTCAAACTGTGACAGAAAAAATCATTTGTAAAGACGATTTTGACTTAAAGTTACGGGTTTGAATCTCACCCATAATGTCCGTCCATACATCACAGCAGTTTTAGGACGGAGGCTGTTGGAGACAGATGACTGAAAGATATATATTTTATGTGAAACGTTAGACAATTCAGTAGTCAAATAACGAAAAAAAAAAAAAAATGGGCATTTATAGGCAAAAGATGAAGTGTGGAAAAAGATTTCTGTCCACTCTAACATGGATACTTTTAAAACAATTTGAGATAGTGGAGCTTATAAAATATTTTCAATGAAAATCTTCAAGAAGACCAGTCCACTAGTTAGATACCACGTGTTCTGTCGCGAAAATAATAATATTTTTTTCTGTAACATATTTCGTTTTCGCTTTTAATTAGTTAACAAATAACGTATGCCATTAATCTATACATATAATAAAATCGTAACTAAGCCGAATCTATACATTAAATATTTTTTGGAAAATCTTATTGAAATAGACTTTTTTAACGATACGGAGGCCGAATCTATAGTTTTTAGAATTTTTGTCTGTCTGTCTATGATGATAGCTGGTTATCCGGGTCAACATATAGGATACTTTTTACCACGGGAAAATATATCATTTTTGAGAAAAAATATGTAAAACCTAAGAATTTGGTTTTTGGTCATCTGAACGCGGGCGGAGCCGCGAGCAATGCTAGTATAACATATATTTAATGTTTCACGCTAGAACCATGATGTGCGAGTCAGACTCGCTCTTGACAGATTTTGTAATAAAATTAACAACCGTTAATTTAAGCTGGAAGTGTTGCTCGAACATGAGTATGCATTTATTTGCTTAGAATAACATTGGTATGGTAACCACTATTTGGTACATTACTTATAACTTCATCTAGATATTTTCGAACGCAGTGGTAGCCCAGCGGTAACGCGCTCGCTTGGGAAACCTAGTAAGGCAAATCTCGGATCTCGCACCTCTGATATTGAATCATTTCCAACATGATTACCACTTGTCTTAACGGTGAAGGAAAACATCGTGAGGTAACCTACATGTCTGAGAGAACCTAGCAAGTTTTCAAAAGACATGTGAAGTTCGCAACCCGCACTTGGCCATCGTGGTGGACTATGGCCCCATCTCCCTCGTACTGAAGGAAGGCCCGTGCCCAGCAGTGGGACGTTAGAAAGGGCAGAATACATACATACATGCAAGATACGAAGTGAAAAATAAATTGATTGGTATATTATTCCAATTTATTCAGGAAGGATTTACCCTTCGTCTCGCTTTCTTTCCGATGGCTTATGGTAAACGCAATATATTTTCCATACAAGAACCGTGTTTCATAGGATTTACTTATGTTGTTTTTGGTTCACACTGCGTTAAATATTCACCATATCTAGCTATATAAAGAAAAATGAATCATTATTATCAGGACAAGCTTTGTATAGAAGAAAATTAAAAAAAAAAAAATACTAAAATAAGTTTTTTTTTAAATCTCATGATAAGAAAAGTGAGTGAGTGAAATAATTTTTATCCTGGAAATCATCCCATAAGGGGTGAGAATGGGGATAAAAGTTTGTATGGGGCAGCAAGGTAGGGACGAACCCGAGCGAAGCCACGGTGAGTCGATAAGTTTTTAAAAGATTAAGAACGAAATTTACTTTCTATTATTCATTAGGACAGTGGAACGGATACGTAACATCGTAAATCATACAATGTGTTGTAAAACTCTGCTATGTACAAGATAGTTCCTTCAGTAGGCGTGTAGCATTACGATAAAAAAACTTAGCGTATATTTTTTATAATTATGGGTAAAATGTACTGTACGTAATTAGTATAATTACATACTAATTACCGTGTAATAACTATCTTCATGGACTTATTTTATGGGGCAGTAACATAAATACGATATTTGTTGTTTTCGGGTGCCCCATTATTGCTATTGTATTATATTTCAAACTCATACATAGAATTGCTTTTTAACCATACAAATGGAGTCCACTTAAAGAAATTGTCCTGTTAAAATACTTAACTTGTATATACAGTTCACAAAACCCAAAAGTTTGGTGCGAGAAAACATCGAGGTACGAATTCATCATCATCTCTTCTGACTAAAGTTCCCAAATTAATTAAGAATTTGATATAGGAATGTTGTTAAGAACTTCAAATATAGTCTCTTAAAAAAACTAATAATCATATTGCGGAAACTAAAATTAGATTTAATGAAGTATGTTTTTCAATGTTAATTATATATTTATATATATATATATATATATATATATATATATATATATATATATATAATATATATATGTAATAAAATATATATATATGTAATAAACATTTTATTTGGGCATTTGTATATCATGAACTGATAAAAAATTATAAAGAAATTAAAGCATTATCCTGTAATAAATATATCCTCCTGAGTCAGAAGCGGTCAAGAGTAGACGACAGTTTCATAAATTTTATATTTTTCTAATTAAGATGTAGAGTAAATTAAAATTTATAATTTCACAACATGTCCTGACTATTTTAAAAGTTAGAATATAGTTTTACAGGATAGTGCCTAGTGGTTTCTAAAAAACAACTTGATATATCAAAGATATTGGGGAAATTTTGTTAATTGTCTTATCTTTATTTATCCCAAATAAGACTTTTTTTAATAATGAATATAAATTGATTTTGAATTAATGGTAAAAAACTGTTGCGATGAATAATACATTTTTTGCATAATATAACATCATCACTGAACCTACTACAACACTTTGAATAAAACTTTTTAATTAAATGAAATATAAAAACAGGAAATGAAAAAAAGTATGGCAACTTTTGATACAATTATATACACCTATTTACAGAACATTCAATGTTTTTAATATTGAGTTCCATATAATTTTATAAAATAATATTTGTAGAAATTAAAAAAGAAATTATTACTTTTAAAAATGTACAATAATTATGAACTCATATTAAAACTACTTAAATATTTAGATTTTTGCGAGCTCTAATAAAAGTCAATTATACAAATTCAATTTTTTTTTATATTAATATTGTTTAAAGTAACATACTATTGGTTTTTTACACAATAAAAATAACATTTATTACTTTTTTAAAACTTTTTCATCTGTATGATGTTTTTAATATATTTATATTATAATATGGTAGTAATAGTAGATAAGTATAACACTTTAATAGTGTGTTGCCTTCTATAATTTTACAATATTTTATATTATGATAATCAGCTTAGTTTTGGCTATAGTATTTACTATGTACTGAATGTTTATTTGAACATTCATTTATATTTAATGAAGAAATAAATTTAAAGAAGAATAATTTTATATTTAATTAATAATGAACTAATTAAAATAATAACTAGTCTTAATGTTATGGCAACATTTGTTCACAACTATGTCACTAAGGAGGTCAAACATGCAAACAGCTGATTCTTGTGTTGCAACACACATTAAAATAGGTACTCAATGAATCTTCAGTAAAGTGTATAATATGAAAACTGGTTTCCGTGTTTTTCAACAAAAACAACGACCGCACGCTAAAGTGCGAGTAAAGTTATGATTCGTTAGCGTAAAATGAATATGAAATAAGCGCGATATGTTTATTTATGAGTATTCAAATGATTATTTTTATACAACTTTATGGATAAGTAAAGAAAGTAGAATTGAAAATTAGAATAATAAGCACCACCTGCAAGGGGCTCCAGCCCGCTCCGAGTTGCGACTGTCTACCATTAGGGTTGTGCTGCGACCCGCCAGACATTGTGCGGGGTGTTCTCGCGGCACTGTTTACAAAGCGTATTCAATTCCGATTCGAAAACAAACACTCCTTCAGTCCACCATTATATTGCCGGCAACTTTGAAGCCTTCGCCCGCGTAACTGCGCTCCCTTACGACGTGTACAGAAACTTCTAAAACGTTTTGATGTGCGCATGTAATAGTTTTAAGCATCCATAGCAGCCAGTGGTCACTCTTAATCGACAACCACACATATGTTCACTTATTGGTAGGTTTATTCAAAAGAAAACTATATTTATTTCATGTACGGTGTGGTGTTCACGAATCTGAAGCTCACTTCGCGTGACATTTTGAACGCATTTAAGGTTTGAAAATATACACTTAACCAGTACTTTATGGTTGGAATTTAGTTCGTTGATCAATGCCAACTATATCCTTTCGTGGAATTTTATAAATATCACTAATAACTGTGAGAATAAAGCAAATTATATCAAACTATGCACAAGGATCACATCCAACAATGGTGGCCGATTGGGATTTTGAAAGCTTTTACAGCGCCATCTTGTAAAACAACTTCAAAACTTTGATGAGTCGGTAAAGCAGTAGAACGGAAACATGTTATTGTCTTTGACTATGGGAAGAGAAACCGGTACAAAATTAATTCTATACATTTTCAAAAATAAAAACCTTATACCTATATCATGTAAATAATAATAACTGAAGGTAAAACCGGAAAACCAATAACTGTTTATTTTAAATTATATCCTAAAATTAATATGAATTTTACGGTTTTATATTAGTGAAATTAATAAATGGCAACACAGGTTGCTATAGCAACGTTTGTTTTGGTTTCAGTAAGAGAAGATATAGATAAGTATTTATTTTATAGAGAATTCCGTAAGCAAATTAATTTATTATTTTTAAGAACAGTCATGTTAGGATTGTAAGAAAAATGAGGGAAAGTGAATTAACGAAATTTTTAGTATCATTCAATGGACATATTGAATACGTAAGATTTCCCGCGGGGGTTTTTGACGAGCAATTATATCTACAATATGATTTGATATGGGGTCCTGATTGGGATCCTATTTCTGGTCTGAATTCAGGAGTTAGTCAAATGGCTAAATCCGGCGTCGACCCAGAGAAAGTTATATTTAATTTACCCGTAGAAATGGCATTCGGGAGCACTAATGTGTTTGGATGTAAGAGCATTTTATGGTATATTATACTATTTACCCATAGTTTAAATCATTTACGAAACAATAGTTTGATATGGTCTAGGCTTTTGCGTAGACGAGAACGACATAGGGTCTTTTTTAATAATTTTTATGACATCTACACTTACTCTTTTACTTGATTAGTCGCAATGAAAGACTATGTACGTCCTCTTCCATAATATTAATGTCCACTTGACCTATTTCGGCCACAGCGGTCAAGTTCACTAAGACTAGCTAACTACATAGGAACCATATTATAACCATAGAATACTATAGTACACAAGTTTACACGCGGGCATAAGTACACTCTCTATTCCTTTTAAATTCCGTCACCTCCTTAACTCAGTGCTGATAATAAGACTTCTCTTACAGAAAGACCCAATTAGTTATTGATTTCAACTTGACCTTACATGCTTTTACTCTTATTTCCCAAAGGATACTTTAAGGTAGTTTTTTTGTGAGGTCTCTATGAAATCGCGTTTAAAATAATCGCATGATTTAGTTTTAGACATGTTAAGTCTTTATATATTTTGTTAATAAATTATATATTTTCACTTGCTTGGAAACCAAGTGAAACGAATTCAAACCTTGGGGTTTGCGCCTATAAAGTAGTCTAACCTTATTATTTAATTACCTTGAAGTAGAAACAAAAATACATTATACAAACAACAACCTGCATATTAGAAAAAACCTAACTACATTTCGAATGACATATGAAGTCCACCAACCCCTTGGCTAGAGTGGTGGACTATGGTCTGATCTGTTTCGCATTAAGGGGAGGCCTGACACAGCTGTAGGGGGTGTAAAAAGGGCTGAATTACTAAGTAATTATTGAATTTCAGGGCCACAATTAATAATAACAGTGCGTGCTAAAAACTTCCTTAGTGGAGATACTCTCCGTGGGTATGCGTTGTTTCTCTTGCCACCCACTGCTGGTACTCACGAGTTGTCAGCTCCTTTGATAAGGCCTAGATCAGCAACGATGCTTGGTGATTGGTTTGCGTGGATCACTGGAAGGTATCCAGAGTTGGTCGATGCAAGGATGTTAGCAAACGGGAAGGAAAATTATTGTAAGTATTCATAAATAATACTAGCGGCTCACCCTCGCTTCGCTCTGGTTCGCCTCTAGCAAAACAAAATCAAACCTATCCCACGGGAACCGTACATTTTTCCGGGATAAAATGTGTTATTCCAGACTATAAGTAATCCATCTCTGTGCCAAATTTCATCCAGATCCGTTCAACCGTTCTGGCGTTAAAGAGTAACAAACATCTATACATACTCACAGACTAATGTTAAAATAAATAAATAAATAATATATTTTATCAATCAATTAGAACAATTTATATAAAAATGCCTATATAGTGTTAGAGTTATTTATTCGTCCGTCAGTTGTCACAACACTGTTGACTTGAACTTATATGTAATTCAATACGATTTTTTCTGCCTTAGATAGAATATAAGACAAAATTAAACTATAGGGCCGTAGCCTATCTGCTATTCCGGGTCATTTGTTTACTACTGAAGTATGTTTGAAGTACTAATTGAAACGTTAGTCTCTTTGATACTGTACTTTGTTCGATAAATATAATAGAAAAAGTACCTAGTATAAAAAAAAATTATATAGTGTGCTTAAAATATAAAGGCGCATTACAATTATTATCGACTACTATCTACTATACTTCATTTTATCATTTTCATTTTCGCAATATAACATTTTACAACATTGAGAAACTATTGATAAAATGTAGTTATTTTATGTGTATATATTAAATATTCATTCGATTTCATAGTTTTAAAACCATTTTCCTAGATAGTGCGTAAACTAACTACCTACTCCCATAGGCTATTTTGTTTTTAAAGACATGTGAAGTCCCCCAACCCGCACTTGGCCAGCGTGGTGGACTATGGCCTGATCCCCCTCGTATTGAAGGGAGGCCCGTGCCCAGCAGTGGGACGTTAAAAAAGGCTGAATACAAATTTGTCTTAATATCACAAAAGTTTACTTCAATAAATTCTTAATGATCCTTCCACTGTAAGTTACGAGTAAGTAGTCTAAGCGTTCAAAGGGGAAAGGGAAAACTCGTTGGCTATTCCTTCATTGACGTCATTTCATAATGTTTTTTTTTAAAATATACCTGTTAAGTATAGATTTCCTGGTATATACGTCTTCATAATTAAAAAATGCATACAGTTTTGCAGTATTCCTTTTGGCGGCGCAACCTGCACGTCCCCATTCAGGTTCCGTATGTACCCAAGGTTCAACGAACTTTTAACTATGTTATCTGTTGTTCCGGGTTCCGATTTTTTAGAAAAGCTGTCTTTCCGTGACCTTGATTGCCTCACAGCATTCGAAACGTCGGGATCTAATAATCAAAATAAATCCGCGAGAAAATCCGAAAAGATTATTTGACGAGACGTTTTCGACACGATTAATTTTTTTGAAAAATATTTTCGTCACAGTTTGCAGGACAAAAAAGTGTTAAAAATCATATTTTCCATACAATTTGTATGGGAAAACTTAAAGTTCGATGGAGAACTTCTTAGAATTGGAATTTTGAGCTCCGCTTTTAACAGGAGCTTTGTTGGGACATTTTCTGAGATATTTTGGGGTGAGAGCGAAGAAAAAAAATATCGTCATTTTTTGGCACATATATATATATCTATATATATATATATATATATATATATATATATATATATATATAGTTTATCTATTCCATACTAACCTTTAAAACGTACTCAGGAACGAACCCGAGCGAAGCGAGAGTGAGTCGCTAGTCTGATTATAAAGTAAACGATTAAGGGGCATTCCCTTACAAGAATGAGTAGTTATATAGCTCTATCATAAAAACAGTGAATAAGCAATCGTTAAACTAAGTGTTATTGTAGTGTGAAATCTAAAGTAAAACAGGGGATCCCAATAACCTATGTATCTGTGATTTTCCTTACTAGCTATATGAATTTTTATGGAGCTTACGTCTTTGTTACTCTAGTAAAGAAAACCATGTTTGATTGATGTAATTTTTTCGCGGATTTATTATAATATTTGGTTCCCGACGTTGCGAATGCTTTACTGCAATCATGGTCTGTCATCAGCTGTCTGTAACAACTATATAATGCCTTTGAGACATCTAACACCTCAGTTTCTCCCGTGACCATGATTGGTGTAAAGCATTCGAAACGTCGGGAACTAAATATCGAAATAAATCTGCGAAAAAATCCGAACAGATACTTTTATTTAAAACTAGCATCGCATCAGATGACCAAAAACCAAATTCTTAGGTTTTACATATTAGTATACTCTTACGTTGCAGTTTTTGTAGTTTTCTCAGAAATGAGACATTTTCCCTCGGTAAAAAGTATCCTATATGTTGACCCGGATAACCAGCTATCACCATACCAAATTTCATCAAAATCCCTTTAGTGGTTTTTCTGTGACGCGGTAACAGACAGACAGACAAACAAAAATTCTAAAAACTATAGATTCGGCTTCTGTATAGATAATAATATCGTATTTCAATAATTCAATAATTTCGGCTTAGTTACAATTTTATTATATGTATAGATGTCAAATATTAGCGTAAATCTAAGAAAGTATTAAGAAAAGCACGTTATTACGAACGACGGTAAACGGTCAATTGGCGAACTAAAAAGGTACCTACCTACCTACTATCGTTAGTAACAAAATATATCAATTTGTATTATCTATAAGAGCTAATTCGCCTTGGATTACTATAATACTACATCCCTATATTTACTCGATAGCTAAGAAAAGGGTAATGTTTTTAAAGTGTATATATGTATATTTATTTCTTTTTCTAGTGCTTCGGACAGAGTCCTACGGCAGTGTTAATCTGAAAGTGACGATGGTGTCTAAAGATTTACGAAAGCTCGGATACGACAACCAGTCTGCTTGCAAGAACTGATATTCAATAAAAAAAATATTTACTTGTACTCTTATTTTTGCAATTCCTAACATGTTTGTAGAGGGATTTTTAGAATCTTGTACATATATGTAGATTAAATTAATATAGGTTGTAGATTTTTTTTATGTCTGTCAGGCGCATTTCTCGCGCCACTTGATAGCCGTTGGCTTTATTTTCCTTTGAGTTTTGAAACTTTTTCTTCTTATAAGTAATTTTATTATGTAAAGTTTTGAAATAAAACTATCTTTTCGGATTTTGTCGCTGTTTTATTATATTTTGGTTCCCGACGTTTCGAATGCTTTACAGTAAACACGGGAAAGAGAGTTTCATATGAAAAGTTATTATTTAGTTTTTATTTTATTTGAAAGAAAAAATGATTCCATATATATTATTCCAAAGTGCAAAAAAATTATAACTCACTAGCATTGCCCGCGGCTCCGCCCGCGTTCAGATGACCAAAAACCAAATTCTTAGGTTTTACATATTAGTATACTCTTACATTGCAGTTTTTGTATTTTTTCTCAGAAATGAGATATTTTCCCGCGCTAAAAAGTATCCTATATCTTGACCCGGATAACCAGCTATCACCATACCAAATTTCATCAAAATCCCTTAAGTGGTTTTTCTGTGATGCGGTAACAGACAGACAGACAGACAGACAAAAATTCTAAAAACTATAAATTCGGACTCTGTATCGATAATAATGTCTATTTCAATAAGATTTTCCAAAAAATATTTAATGTACAGATTCGACTTAGTTACAATTTTATTATATGTATAGAATAGCAGAAACCGCGGCTTCGCTCGCGCTAAAACTAAAAAAAAAACTCTCAAAAGGTAGGTTTCATACAAACTTCTATATCTATATATAACATTAAAAAGTACAACAAAATTATAGTTCATTTTGCTAAATTATGCAGAAATAATTGTGTCATCCTCGACATTGACATGAAATGGAGATTAATAATTCATATTGATGGAATGAGCCCCTATTGTTTTAATTGAGGCTGTATTCATTTGGTCCCATATTCAAGGTAGGTATGTATTTAATGATAAATATTTTAAATTAGAAATATCTAATAGTAATTTATAGCTTTAGCTAGTCTCAAAATAAGTGGAATAATATCCTTAGATATCCGTCTATATAAAAGGAAACCGTGACTGACTGACTGATCTATCAACGCATTTGTCACACACACACACACACACACACACACACACACACACACACACACACACACACATATATATATATATATATAAATATGTGTCAAATCCCGGGTCTCGCACCTCTGATATTTTCATTTGTGAATCAATTCTATCATGATTACCACTTGCCTTACGCTGAAGGAAAACATCGTGAGGAAACCTGTATGTCTGAGGGAACTTAGCAAGTTTTCGAAAGATATGTGAAGTCCGCCGACCCGCACTTGGCCAGCGTGGTGGACTATGGCCTGATCCCTCTCGTATTGAGGGGAGGCCCACCCCCATCAGTGGGACGTTAAAAAAAAGGGCTGATTAAATATATTTATATATACATATTAATCTTTATTGCACATAAAAAAACGAAAATTACAATTATTAAGAGAAAATTGAAGGCAATTATTTGAAAACTCAACCCATAAAGGGGTGAAACGGGGGTTCAAAATTTGTATAGACTATAGAGAAATCATATAAAGGAGATGTACTCGTATCTATTCGCAGGATTATTCGTGTCAACAAATAAATAAACACGTGTTTCGTGTTTTTCAAAAAACAACCCCTCCAGGGGCTGAAAAGAGGTAACTAGTCTAAAAATACAATTTGGCACGAGCGAAGCCGCGGGCAAAGGCTAGTTTTCAATATAGACATAAATATGTTGGGACAATAAATAAATGTAAACATAGAAACAAAGAAATTTTTAGCTTTATAATAATGTAATATTTAAATGATATCTATACATATAATAAAATTGTAACTAAGGCGTATCTGTACATTAAATATTTTTTGAAAAAGTTTATTGTAATAAACATTGTTATCGATACAGAGGCTGAATTTATAGTTTTTAGAATTTTTGTCCGTCTGTCTGGTACCGCATCACAGAAATACCACTGGAGGAATTTTTATGAAATTTGCTATGGTGATAGTTGCTTATCCGGGTCAACATATAGGATACTTTTTACCGCGGAAAAGTATCTCATTTCTGAGAAAAAATACAAAAACTGCAATAAAAGAGTATAATAATATGTAAAACCTAAAAATTTGGTCTTTGGTAATCTGAACGTGGGCGGAGCCGCGGGCAATACTAGTCTACTATATAGTGAAAGATATTTTTCTCCATTAAACAAAAACAACATTTGAATTTTAAACATATAGTATTCTTGTTAAATATTAGTTCAGTAGTCGCTACAGGTTTTTCCTTTTGAAACCACGCTCGTCTATTATGTTACATATGTAGATAGTGAGACATTGAACCAAATGTATTTTAATTGTTTCCCATTACGCAAATATACACTGACGTGCAAAAAAATCGGGCCACCTAGAGAAAATGGACAAACTTAAGATATGATATTTTTTTATTAATTTTGTTATTATATATGGGTAGCTGTATACCCTAGGTACCTAAATCAATAATCGTTGAATAATTTAAATAAAAATTATTGCTCGAAAATAGAAGAAAATCAAATTTAATGATTTTTCGCGAGTTTGGTATAAAAATGTAAGCCGCAAATTAATGGGAAAATTAAAAGATTTCGATTGGTTTTATGATTTTTAATAATGCGTATTACCGCCTCTATTTTTAATTACAGCTTTTAATCGGTTTTTCAGAGATTTGACACACTTTTTTAGATAATCTTGTGTAATAGACTCCCATTCTTCCAATAAAGCGCTTTTTAATTCTTGAATGTTGCTCGGGACTACTACGCGACTTCTAACTTTTCTTTTGAGATGGTCCCATACATGCTCTATCACTAGTAGACACTCCGACCTCTTGAAGATACTGCCTTACTGATGTGGCAGTGTGTGGGCGAGCATTATCTTGTAGAAGCAGAAAATCTTCTTCAACGAACCCAGTAAAAGGCATCACATGATCTTCTAAAACCTCCGTTATATACCTAACGGCTGTAAGAGATTAATTTTCTATGAATCAAAGCTCGGTTTTCGCTTCGTAACAGAATCCTGTACAAAACATAACTGAGCCCCCTCCATATGACACTGTTTCCCGCATAGTGCATGGTGCATATCTTTCACCTGGTCGCCGGTAAACAAAATTACGGCCGTCGGCACCATGTAAACACATTCTGCTTTCGTCAGTATTAAGAACCTCCTTCCACTGCTCCAAATTCCAATTCACGTGATCTCGGGTAAAAAGTAATCTTGCAATTCGATGTGCAGGGGTGAGTTTGGGGCCAGTTGCGGACTTGCGTGGCGTCAGGGAAGTGACTCTAAGTCGGCGCCTTACTGTCCACTCGCTAACATTAACACCTATCACTTCTCTTAGGAGATTTCGAACATCAACCCCTGTGCGATGACGATTTCTTAGAGCTGATGCCACAATAAATCGATCATCACGCTCTGATGTGGCTCTTCGTCGGCCGAAACCATGTCGTCGTACAAAGCCACCAGTCTCTATGTAACGTTTGTACACTCTCTGGACCGTAGAACGGCTCACAGAAAAAGCTTGAGAGTTGAGCCACTTGACGTTGACTTTGTCCAGTTTCAAGCAAAGTCACAATTCGAGATGATTCAGCCTCGGTCAGATCCATCTTGCACTATTTCTAATAATCGCAGATCAAAGTAGAAGTGTCTTGTTCAATAATTGGAACTCAACTAAGCTTCTAAAATAACAAAAAACAATATTTGTGGCTTCAATCCATGTTATTCACTAATTACTGCTAATTGACTATAATTAGGCGCACACGTGCATTTCCAGGAAATTTATAACTTTTTTTGAAGGAAACACAGGCGTCTAATCTCCTTAATTACCTTAGCGGTATTTTTTTCACCAAACAATTGTCAACAAAAAAATATGCTTAAAATTAAGGCTGGCCCGATTTTTTTGCACGCCAGTGTATATTATAATCTACCTTCTTCAAGGTACCAGGCCCTGTTTAGTTTTTTGTTTCTAAAAGGCTTTATCTTAATTTATGACACAGTTTACTAATTATTATATCTACTGTTACATGGAAGGGCATAACGTTTCAAAATTTCCTGAAACAAATAGTATTTTTGATGATTCTAACATATTTTTTTGAACTCCAAACTAATTAGCATTTCTTTTTCCATAATCAATAAAGTGCCCTTAAATAATTTTTGTTTTAAATTCATTTTATATTGCTTAAAACTATCCTTAGTATCGAACTAGCAACTCTGAACTCACCCTCGCTTCGCTCGGGTTGGTCCCTAATTACGTTTTAACGTTTGGTATAAATTTCTCAGATATGAGATATTTTCCTGCAGTAAAAAGTACCCTATATGTTGACCCGGTCAACCAGCTATCATCATACCAAATTTCATCAAAATCCGTCCAGTAGTTTTTTCGTGATGCGGAAACAGACAGACAGACAGACAAAAAAATCTAAAAACTATACATTCGACCTTCCTATCGATAATAATATCTATTTGAGTAAGAATCTCCAAAAAATATTTATTGTACAGATTCGGCTCAGCTACAATTTTATTATATGTATAAATTAAAGTACTTATTGGTTTGTAATATTTAAACAAATTCGGTTAGAAAGTAGCTATTTTATTGAGCTCATGTCTTTTTTTGCATAGTGACAAACAACATCAGCGAATATTTATCCATTAGATAGTACTCGCTTGTCACCGAAACGGCTGAATAAATTTGTACAAAGTACAATAGATACTTTAAATTTAATGTATAATTCTTTACAAAAAGTAATAATATTGAAAAGCCAAAATTATATTACTGGTGATGTTTTTAAAAAGTTGACGACACGTTTGGCTCAGTTTGTAGTGACCCTACTTGCTTGCTTACTTGCTGCGCCAGCGGT